TAGTGTCGAACTGCCTGACAGGTCATGCCAATGAGTAGACCTGCAAAGATGCGCGTCAGCTTACCCACACTTTAAATCCAACGATATGATTTGTGCGACCTGATGTGACCACGGTAACGCACTCAGCTCATACAACAGCCAGGCCCTGCACCGGACCGGGTCCGGTCCGGAGTCCGGCGGTCCGACGGACCACAACCGGACCCGACAAAAAATGGCTGAGCTTTCCACTAGAACTGGAGAAATTTGTGACAAAAATCTGGTAAGCCGTACTCCCTTAGAAAATCTAGCGACACTTAACCGCATCGCGCCGTGCCTATTTGGTGCTCGCGAGAACGCTGAAAGGATGGCGAAAGAGGAACACGCGACTGATGATTGGTTCAGCAATTCGTTTTTACCATCATTGATGATCTGGAAGGTGACCCCTTTTGAAGGAGCCCGCCGTTGACGTGCTGCCAACTCCAATGCGGCAGGTGTGGGAAAACAGGCGCACGGAGGGCGAGTTTGACACAGATTTGCCCACGAGGTGAACCATTTGAATCGATAAATATATGGACTAAATAAAAATAATTCCATTAGAAAGTTCTCCGAGAAAATGGCGCATTGAAAGGTGGTTGCAACTATCCATTTGTGAAAAGTGGAACAGCCCCCGCCGCCCAGCATTTCACACGTTGATATCACAATTTTTTAATCTTGAAAACATTGTAAAAAGGGGCTATAATGCCACAGTTGGGCCACTTGTAGTCATAGCATGATCGGGGAAAATGCTGATCGATGACTTGACAGGGACAAATATGTGAAATAGCCTAGCGGCAGAGGAAAGCGTGACAGAGCCCTGTTCCACCGCTGGAAGGCAGCAGGCACAGAGGCCAAACTCTGCGCGGGATCGTTGTCTGTAAGATCAGAGGCCAAACTAGTTCATTTTCCTCCGCACTTTTCCTTGGCGCCGTCACGCTATCGGCACAGGCTCCCAACTAGCCCGCCAGAGAATTGGCCAGTTCATGCTGACGCGGACTGTCGTGGGCTTAGCTCTGGCGAATCGACTGCGTGACTTCCGCGGCATTCAGAAGCGACTCTCCTCAGACACTGGTGTCGCTCGCTCTCCTTTGGCGCTCAGCTCGATTCTGTTCCGTCATTGGGGAGTGATCAGGGTCTTCTACACGAGACATCAGTTCGAGTCACGCCCGACCCAGCAACGGCTACCGTGTCGCAGGCTGTCTCCTCGCAGGCTGTGCCATGTGCTCGATATAACGTCCCTGTTGGCGTGAGGCACGGCTCAGCTTGTGCATGCATGGGGTAGTATGCTCACATTTGACCCCAGTGGTCGCTGGCAGGAGAGTACAAATGATTTATGAAGGGCGTACAGCGCTCTGGCAGCTGGAAATGTTGTTGATCATATGCCACATTGTATCGCAGGTGTTTCATCAGACAGGGCACGGACATGTCCGAGCCGCGGCACTATCGCTTTGTATGCATGAAGCCGTCGGCTTTGAGCGACATGAGCGAAAGAGCAGGTGGGGCTATCGGGGCAAGAAAGCCGGCATTTGCCCATGCCCTCGCTTCCGACTTTGGTACATTTATAATGGTACAGATCCTGATGAGTTGTGTTGGGCCTCGTGCCCTTTAATGTCAGCCGACGCTACGGCCACGTGGTTTACCGAAGTGCCCCTTTTACCCGTCTCACGCGGCCCAGCCAGGACTCCGACTGGCCTGCGGGACCGCTTCTTCGCGCGGAGCGAATTCAGAGGCGCTAATAACGGCCATCGCTAACCCCGCCACCTCCGCGTCGCCAACGCGTGCGCTTATGGCTGCCGAGCACCATGTGACGGTAGATGGTCTAGTGGTGGTGGTTGTAGCAATACAACGGAGTTTCATGTTAGGTTGTCGTCTAATGTGCCATGGACTGTCGCTTTCCAACTCCGATCCAGTCCACTATCGGTTCTTATCTCCCTGTTCCACTCCTCCACTGTTGCTTCTCAACTCCTCGATCCAGTCCTTCGCCGTTGCCTCTCAGATCCACGATCCACTCTGATTCAGCATGACATCGTATATTCTGGCTGGGATCAATGAGATACGCTGCACACGCCAGCGCGAGCCTAGGTGAATCTACATGCGTCGGGATCAGGTCCAACTCACGATGCACCCTCCTCCACTATTGCCTCCCAACTCCCTGATCCACCCTTACACCACTGCTGCTCAAATCCCCAATCCACTCCTTCCCCATTGCTTCCCAACTTCCTGGTCCACTCCTCCTTTATTGCCTCCCAACTCCCTGATCCACTCTTACACCGTTGCTTCTCAACTCCCCAATCCATTCCTTTACCATTGCTTCCCAACCCCCTGATCCACTCTTCCCTTATTGCTTCCCAGTCGCTGATCCACGCCTCCACTGAAACACTTGCCGAGTCTCGCCCGCTCTGGAATCAATTAGGTGTGATTCGCGGAGAAGTGCAGCCGCAGGTAGATTCAGCCATATACCACCCATACAGCCTGTGAGAAGTACAGCTGCAGGTAGGTCCATCCACGTATCACCCAAACATTTCGCGAAAAGTACTACCTACCGCTGTAGTAAAAGTACTACCGTTGGTAGGTCCAACCAGGTGCCACCCATACAGCGTGTGAGAAGCACGGCCGCAGGTCCGTCCAACCATTGTCACCCAAACATCCTATGGGTTTTTGCATTAGAGCCTTTTCGAAAAGAAATGGCCATTTCAGGGCTATGGGATGAAGGAAAATGGTTAACGGTGGGACAGACTTGCATGCGCCTGGGGGCCAACCGCCGAACTTTAGTCCGCGCATGCGCGGGTACCCGGTCAGGATCCCCCTTCCCACGGGGCCTCTCGGCCCACTCGTGACTGGTGTATGCAGCCCGCCCCGGACAGCCGGGGTGTCGCGGGGGTACAGGATGAAGCAAGATTGAGGATAGCAGGGGCGGATCACACTCAAACATCCTGTGAGAAGTACAACCGCAGGTGGGCCCAACCACACGCCACCCGTACAGCCCGCCGTTGTGATCGCCTTTCCTCGAGTGAAGTTGAGCTCACCGTACCGGTCAGCTGGCTATGATGAATAAGATGGAGTCGCGCGGGGCACATGACGCATGCGACCAATTGGCAACGCGCTGTTTCGCGGACGGTTCGGTGGTGGTCGGCGCAGGCCGTTTCGCCCCACGTGACAATGGTAAGTTCTCTCATAACAAGCTTTTTTACGTCGGCCCGACCTTGCAATGAGTCTGCTTCGTCACCGGTCAGCTATCCACGCTACACAGGGTGGGGCGGAGTTACCATGTTTCTCATCGCCATCATCCAGTGATGGTGAATTAGTCGGATAGAAGAAGAAGAAGAGGAAGAAGAAGAAGGCAGGAATCACCCTGCCCAAAGTTTGGTAAGACATAATGCTAATCCTATGGTGCAAAACTAGTTGAATCTGTTTACGCCTCCGACTTCCCCAATCATTCACCACTACTAAGCCATGCAGTGTTACCTGCTCACTATCCCGAGTGACGCGTCATCCAAGCTCGATCACCATTCCCTTGCTGATATAAAGGCGATACTCGGGCTTAACTTCGGTCAAGTCGACAGTGAGCCCACGTCACCAGCTAGATCCTGCAGGACTATTTCATGGTTTTCTTACCCACGCACTTGTGCATTTTTGCGAGTATTGATTGCCACCACATTTGGCAGCATGCAGGAAATGAGTTAGACAATACGATTATCTTGAAATCGATCTGTCATGAAAACTCGTTTCCCAATTCAAAGGCGTCAGCGCGCGCTTTGGATTCGTGAGAAGTAAGAACATTTCTGGCAGCCGCTTTCAGTTCTCTTCATATCTGTGCCATGAATGCGATTCCAAACGAGAATGGTCCGCATGCCCGTCCGTATTGTAAAGTAATAAGTCTATTTTCCGGAACTTTACAGATAGCCGGGTGAGAGTGTCATTAACTCTTGTTCCTCGAAGTTTCTAAGAGGACGTTATTCTGCAAAAAGTTACATGCGCTTTTACCCGGTGCGACTTGGGTTGAGAATACCGATGTATTTTTAGATGGTATAACGCCCACAACATCGATAGAACTTGGGCATGGCCGTTAACGACGTTTTCGTCAAAACTCCACGCAGTAAAGAGACGTGTGAAACAATTCGTATCCAAACCATTGGAAGTACGCTGGTAAGCCGTGAGTGTTATATCACTGCACTTAATTACGCACCCAGCGAAGGGGAAAACACCAATAATTGAGTGATTAAAATGCAAAACACACATGATTGCGTGCGGTATTGCGCTCTGAAAATAATGCCCATAAGCCATACTGCCGTCATGAATGAAGGATAGTCATAGCGCCACGCTGCAGTTTTCAACACCTTCCACGAGACCTACCCTTCAGCTCTCCGCACGGAAGGAACTACCCTTGGCCCACTCGCTAAATCGCCGTCTTCTATCAGCGCTGCGACCGGGATATGGGAAACCAGCAAGCAGTCCCTCGCTGGTACGAAGCTTCTGGTCCCGCAACACTGCGTCACACGTGACGCGTGACGCAGCGTGACGTCACAGTCACGAAAGAACCGTGCGTGTTTAGATAACCGATCAGTCTCTTCGTACGCGCTTCTGACTTCGAACAATCATTTTCTGCGCAACAGGCAGCTCGCCGAGAGCATTTCCATCCAGATGGCCACGGTGCGCACGCGTACTCATGCGTTCCATGACGTCACTCCAGCCCAGCAGAACAATGCACGGGACGACTCATATCGCCGTCCCGCTTCCGAGACCGCTTACACGGAGATCGCTGACGCGGCGGCGGCGCTTGCCTCCCGGAACTGTGCCGGCTTCCGTGTGCGCGCACCCCCTCCCCCGCCCGTGCCGGCCCGCCCCCGACCAGCGGCGGAGCGCGGTCCCGGTCACGCCGCCCAGAGGTCACTCCACTGCCCGCGGGGAGGGGAGGGGAGGGCGTGGTGCGGGTTACCTGGACGGCGCCGTCGCCACGGCGGCCACCACTGCACGCCAGTTAGTCGCTCCGCGCGGCAGACCCCGCTGAGCGCTCGTGACCGGCCGCGCCGCACATCGCCGCGATGGCAAGCTGGAGTCAGACCGCGCTCGTGAGTACGCTCGCCGACCGGCGGCGGGCTCCGGAGAGGGGGTCGGGTCACGGGCGTCTGCCAACGGTGTCGGGTAGTCGAAATAAACCTGGCCGTGGTGCAATTCGTAGTTTGACGAAAGGTTTAGTGCTGATCAAAATAAAGTCAAAATGTGTTCGATTATTCATCTATGCGTCGGCTGGGGATTAGTTTGAAAGCTGCTCAACGCTCGCGGTGAAGGTAGGCCAACAAAAAAGACAGATCATTCATCAGAACGGGAATGATACCGAAATTGTTTAAGTTGGCTCCAACAAGCTGCTGGACGATTGCAGTGCACCTCATGCGTGTTGAGCTGGGGTTGAACAAAAATGTGCTTGATATATGCTTGAAAGGGTTGTCGGAATTGCCCTCTGGTATCGTTTTTTAATGAGAAAATAAGAAAACTAGCAATGCTAGCAACTTCGTGCAATATGGTCTCCTGACGCCATGGTTGGATGACCCCTTCTCTATAAAAATTGGATTCATCCGACGGAAGAAAACAACTGCATCTGAAAATAAGAACCGAAAGCTATGCCTGTTCAGCTCCTACGCCTACCAAATGCTGACAACTAGCGAAAGTTACTTGAAATTGTTCTTAAAATTGTTACTTGAAATCGAAAGTTACTTGACATTGTTTTGACGTTTTGTATTGATGGACACCAATAATCTACTAACCGCCTCAGCCATTTTTTTCAAGTTGAGCTACTTAAGGTTGATTTGATTAAGATCAAGGACGGGTGCAAAATTTCGGAAGATATGGTGTTATGCCATGCTGTACCTTTGTAGCATCATTTCACCTACCGTAACTATATGAACTATCAGAAGCGCACGCAACAATGTTCGGTTTGTATGTTCCTGGTCAATACTCATTTCCGGTCATTGCAAACATCATTTATGCCGGGCACGGGGGCATTTCAAGGCCGTTTTACTTCCTTCGGCCGGCTTAAAGTTAGGAAAGAAAGGAACTACCCGTCCAAGCAATCTGATTGGTCGGACTAAATGTAAACTGATTCAGCGATCTCGATGATATCTGACGTGGCTGACACCAGACAGCCTCCACCAGACCGGACACCGGTCCGGCGCGGGTCGGGCCGGTGTGAGGCCAGGCACAGAGTCTCTGGCTGCCGATGTATGAGCCGCGGCTGCTGCATCGTTCCAAGCGAGATGCCGGGATCGATAATGTCCCATTAGCCCCGTTTCCACGGCGGCGGGCGCTGGGCGCGGCCGCGGGCCCCGCCGACAGGCTCGGTGAGCGCGCGCGGCGCGACCTGCAGGTACTCAGGGAGTGACGGGTGTGTGTGTGTGTGTGTGAACATACTTGTGCAGCAGGAGCTGTCTAGAAGTCGTTCAGCTTCGGGTGTAGCCGTGTTTGAGGAACATGGGGACCAGTGTTACCATAATGTCTGCCCCGATAGCTCAGTTGGTAAGAAGACATGTGTTCCGATCCACTCAGTTGCAGGTAGGTGGCTTCGATCGCTTTAGGCAACTTAAGGCGCTCACAATTTTCCGTTGACAGCTATAGCCTGCGGCCGGCGGCAGCGATCGCGCCAAATACCAGATTGCGTTAGAGGACAGGACGGACCATGCCGAGCGTCGCGGCATGTTAAAATTTTGCCACCTATGTTTTTAACCTGGAATGGCACGATCGGATGGCAGGGTTCAGGCTAACACAAGCGCTTCTTGACAGACCGGCGATTCCAGAGACCAATCCTTCAAAAGGTTTGGATAGAACCCTTCTAAAAAGTGCTGTAAATACATCGCATTCTGGCCTCGCCTAATGTCATCCTCCTACTATCAGACAGCAAATAATGGCTTCGGGAAGTACAGCACGATTCCACAGAGGACGGATAAACCATCACTCACCAGTTCGGTGTTGTTAAAAGGATTTCACTTTACTGGAAGCAACTGGCGCTTTGTATGATACGTTAAAGCGTTCACAAGCACGCGTGATTAATGCCACGAAGGTCACAATACACTGGTAAATTCAGCCAGCAAACCCAACGCCGAAACAGCCGACACCAAAGTGACCTTACTGGGTGCACCTTCCCGCAGACACCGTGTACGGTAACAGCTAAAAACGAATTCAACAGCAACTCTGACAAACGGCGGGCCCATTCATGTAATGTTCAGCAAGTGCAGCTCTCCCAGGCTCATGAACTGGTAATTATCGCATAACCGATGTATTTCTGAGGAGCCAACGGACGCTGGCCCGAAGACCTCACCTCGTGCCATACATACGTGACAAAACGTGCCATACATACGTGACAAAACGGAAGACGCCCAGCTGTCCAAGCTCGGTTAGCGAGACATTAGCATTACAGTACGGCTGAAGCAAAATCTGAGCCAATCAGCGACTGGCCATGTCAGAGCTCAGGAAGAATGCCTTACTAAGCCTCCAAGGTTCCACATCCCACATCAGATGCCGAACGCTCGCCAGAATTCGGCGAGGACGAATGAAGAGCACACTGTATGCTCACACCTGCCAGTTTTATGATAGCATGATGCGTGTGATAACATAATGCTTATGATAGCATGATAACATAACATGATAAAATGATGCTTGCTCAACTCAGCAGGGAATGTGGCAGCTTCTCCAACATGTTTCAAAGCTATGCGCTGTTCAATCAGTTCACTTCAAACTCTTCAAGCATCGTAGGCCACAATACATGCGTCATATGTCGCCTGGTAACAACATTTCTCGATGACAATGTGACGTTGACTAGAGCGAGGACGTTGTTCGTGATAAATGCAGCGGATGCCTACTCGGCTATCCGGACATGTGTATAAGTGGGTATCGGTCCAGGGGAGAACGGTGCAGTGTGAGCAATGTGCATAGTGCACATAGCACAGTTGCAGTTAGTTTGCAGTATCTCCCTTATCAGCGATCTCGTTAACGTGTCACGGTACAATGTAACGCTTCTGCAAAATCGAGTCTATTTGTGCGGATTTCTTTACCCACAGATCTCGTTCACATCAGCTGATTGTACACAGACCAAGCCTTGCGGAAAGAGATCTGTGAACAGACGCTATGTTTACCCGCACTGATTTCTTTAATTCATAGCTTGGAATTCAGGTCATAGATACTTTAAATGCACAGTGACCATCACCATTAAACACAGATGTGTCAAATTTCAGTTTTTGAAACGTTTCATCCGAAAACTGCGTCCACATTGTTTGACGTGCACTCCACCGCTCCACCAAAAGTGGGAGGGTTTCTTCTGCCGGGCGCCTCGCCGAGATGTTCCGCCTAGCGGATGCACCCGTCTGTCTGCAGGGTCGAAACCCGTGTCCCAGTGATGCCGATCATTAAGGGACACGACACTGGACAGGGGCGGTTCGCCTTTGCCGTTGAAGTTTACACAAGGCAGTCCTGACCTCCACCCCGTCCCCTTCGGCCATGTACGTCACCACGCCTAAAATGCTTTCTGGTAAAAAACAGGGATATAATCAAATTTGTTCAATGGGTTCTGTGATCCAGACTCCACCGATTCCAGAGTGATGGTTGCTCCCATGCCAATGACGCTGCTCCTCAGCTACGACGGTCGGCACAGCACAAAGGCGCACGTCATCTTTGAATGGTGTGAAGGATCCAAATAGCCTGGGGTGCACAGATCAAGGCTAATTCCGGCCATTTGGCTGACAAAAAGTATGCTAACTGCAGGGCGGCATTGTCATCACTAAGCCGTCGCAAATGCCCGGAGGGCAAAGGTTGCCCTGGAACTGCTTCGGTTCTGAGATACGATGGGATAGTGATTTCATTCAGACCGCGCCCGTCGGCTCCCATAATAACCTGGTGCCTGCAGCACGCAGTTAAGCAGCTCGACCCATCACCCGAGCCCACACAGGCATTCACCACCCCCTTTCCTTGTGCCCAGCAGTGTTGGGACCTTTGACATGGTAAGAGGCGTATAAAGTTTGTGTTTTGCCTTTGTCCATGCATTGCTACACCAAGTTACCGCTGGATTCGACAGGTTTGGGAGAGGGCAGGCACTCCCTCCCTTTGTCTCCCCCCTATCCGCACCCCTGTCCTCACCTCTCCGACGTCGGCTCCGGTTCGCAGCACGTCCTTTCGCGTGCCCGGCGACGGCGGGTGAAGGTCCGTGACCCCGGCTCGGCCGCTCTGTCAGCCCGCCGCCAGAGGGCGTGGTCTTCCCAGGGGGGGGGGGGGGGGCCGGTCACGGCCGTCCGCTGTCGTGGGTCGCGGCGATCGCGGCGCATGTCGCGGCGATTGCGGCGCATGTCGCCGCGGCGGCCCGTCGTGACGGGCCCCGGGCCCGGCCGGAGTTGCGCGGCGCGCCGCTGCCGTAACGTGCCGCTGACACCGGCTCTCACTGTTCCAGGACCAAATGTCCTCATCACATTTCGTCGCGGGTGCAAAGCTTCGCATCGGACATCTTCGTATAGTGTTCTTACTACGCACATCTTCAGCGACGCAAGTTTTCGTAAATGCATCGCTTTGAACGGTTAGATGCTTGTAATGCAAAATTTCGCACCAGAAAAACGTGGTATTCGTACTTATTTCATTTTATTTCTTCGCTTTCGAACCCACAACTATTTGGTACACTCAGCTATATGCATGCGTAATTCTTCGAGTCGCGTTTCTTCGTATACGTAATTTTAAGAACCGCGTTTTTCGTTAGTGCGATCATTCGTGTCGCCTTCTTTCACATCCAGCTCTTTGCATCGCATTCAAATTTGCATTCAGATTTGCGTTCGCTTTTGAGCTTTTTCTTTAGCTTTTGAATGCGCCATGCATTCAAGCTCGCAACGCATTGACTGGATGGCTTAAAACACGTGCATGTTAGGTAGGGTATAATATTGTGCGTGAACCTTATGTAATTCCTAGATATCACAGATATTTAGCATAAATATTTTAGATATCAGGAAGAACGTAAGAAAAGTGCAACGGGGAACGAACAGCAGAGCAATGAGGATGACAACCAAATACCAAAGTTCCTGCACTAGATACCCCATACTCCATATGAAGTACTGCTGATGCCAAGAGATGCAACGAAAAGTTTTCATTTACTAACAAATGTAATGCAAATAAATGCAATGACAATAATTGCTTTTAGGAGAAAGTTTGATGCAAAGAATCGTCCCGCATACCTAAATGCAATAGAAGGGATCACGTACCGAAAAAAATGCGATGTGAGGGAAGGCGTAACAGCAGAAGCTTTCAAGATGCGAAAAACTGCTTATAAGCATTCACGCACGAGCATGTGCGACACCAAATTATGCGTCTTAAGATTTGCATACGAAGTTTTTCATGGGAAAATCTGTGCTACGGATATGTCCTTATAAAATTGTGTGTAGGAAGAAATTATCTACAACTGAATGCGACACGAAAGCTTACTCGACCACGGATGTCCAGCAGCCGTAACCGGTGATGCAACCGGCTGCCGTCACAGCGTCGAGTTGTCGATTTCAACATCCTCAAGGAAGCAATTGGACTAATAGTTATGACGCCGTGGCGGAAACACTACGTGTTGCAATGTACGAACGGTGAAGTCAGTTTCGTCTCACGCACAATACGAGTACCACCGTCACAGGGCTAAGCCGCAGGCAGAGACAGTAGCGGGATGTGGAGCCTTGTCCGCCCACGGCTGTCCGCGCGTGTGACGGTCGCCACTCTGCGCCGCCAGGCTTCTGCGCTGCTGCTGCTGGCTGTGGGCCACCTCAGCCGGGCCCAGTACCAGACCGGCTACGGAACGGGCCCCCAAGATGCCGACCTGTTCCCACGCGACGTGCCCGAGGACGACGAGGACCTGGCGGCCGCCCGCGCCGCCAGCATCATCGCCATCAGGCTCTTCCGCACCTCGGACTACGACTCCAACTTCATCCAGGTGAGGGACAAGCAGGCTGCCGACGCTGCAGCACAGCTGGTGTGACGTCACACACTTGACCGCGGTGTGACGGACATGTAGGTGCACACCACAGCTACAACACTTATGCGGGTCATCCCCAAGTGGCAATTGTCAACTGGCCACGACGGTCCGGCTGAATCAGAGCGGACGCGTCGTGACGTTGCATGCCACGTTGAAGGATGCTCGCTTCTGTTTGGAAAAGAATGCCGAAGCAAAAGAAAACTCTTCGAACTAGAACAGCACTTGTTAATGGTACCAGAGTCTTCGAATTCGTGGCCAGCTCCACTTACAAGGGATGGAATTCCAATGTCATTCATGCATAATGCTGATAAGATTTTTTTCTAAAGAAAGGAGCCCCATTTAGCTGCCGGCTAACACTGCTGACATCTACAGAATATCAGCTTCTTCGGTCCCGCGTCACTGCAGCTGCCAACTCAATGCAAAATGGAAGACATTGCGTCTTGAGCGATGTCGATAGCATCACGACTTCAGAATAATCATTTGCTGGCATCTGCATTTATTCATTGATAAAATTTTGCTGCAAACCTATATCTGCCTGGATTCTTGTTTTTGATATTCGAGTTTAGTTCTCGAGAAAGCCTTCCATATTTAGATCCATGACTTAAACATTCTCGACAGACAACAGAATACAAACCAGGCCAATGCAGTTTATCGGCACCTCTCAGTGCTTTACCATCAAGCTCCAAAGCGTTCAGGAAGATATCGTAAAACGCGCAGAAAATGATCCATGCCGACTAGGAACCGTGCCATTTTTACGCTAAATAGCCGCAAAATAAGGCCCAGTCAACCTTGCCCGCCTTTCCACACCCGTGGCCGGCGGCAGCGAGATCTCGCCGCCGATAGCTGCCCACCCCCGCAGCGTGGGAAAGTCGCCTGTCTCACCCGGGTGATAGACCCCGCTGAGTCGTTGAAGTTCCCTTATCGGGCTCATCGGGCCACGTCGACGGCGCTGGCGCGCGCGCCGATGGCTGCCGCACGGTCAGCACGCGGTCACTGGGGCAAGGTCACCGGGTCGGGGGCGGGCCAGACGGAAACTGATGACCCAGTCTTAAACGAGCCTTTGGATTCGGCAGATCTTGGCGTCAACACGTCACGGTTTGCCGTGCGCCTCCTCATTCGGAGTACCCAGAACGTGTAGTTCATGTATATGACGACGTGGAAATTACCGCGTCCGAAAAAGTTGTATGGAAATTTACACAGCTGAATAAGAGGTTAGAGCGGGCAAAAGTGCCCTGACCTACTTGCTCTAATCTCACGTGGTGGTCTCGAGCTGTCATACGTTGTCGCATACATTAAGTTCCCAGATGTTGACCTCGATTGGCTTCCCGGCTAGACAAATAACACGCGCATCATTTCTTCCGCATTTGTTGTATTGATTGAAGACGCGTGCTGACCAATACCAGAGTAGCCACAGCATCCTGCAGTCTATATAATCAACATTGATAATTGAAAAAGACACGCCATAGTGGTCAACGCACTAACTGCACGGCCGTGAAATGATGGCAAGGGTTCATAGAACACAGCACACTTCCTGTACACGAGAAAGGTCACGGGGCCGGCCATAGAAATTACTGGTAAATCAACTGTCAAGGCTGTTAATTAAGGCTAACCTCTACACAATGTCATTGCAGATTGCACTCAAGATGCTTGGCTACACAACAATGCATACAATGACCATTTCTCTGGCATTCGAAATCAAGGCAGTTTAGTTAAAAATTGGAGTCTTTTCGGTGACAACTCAGTCACAGCTAAACACAGCTACATCCTATGTTATTCAGTACCTCCTGCTGGAGTTCCTGTTACTATCATTTTGTGGCACCTGTTATTGTCATTTTGTGACAATGTCACTGAGATCGTTTTTAATCGAATTATATCAGAAATAGTAAATAGTAACTAGCAAATGCTGCTGTAAAAGCGCTGCATTCAAAATAAAGGCGGTTTAATTAATAATAGAGCCTTTTCAGTGACACATCAGTCAGAGCTGAGCACAGCTACATCCTATGCAATACAATACTCACTGCTGAAATTCCTGTTATTGTCATCTTGTGACAATGTTATTGAGATGGTTTTCAATCGAATTATGTCAGAAATCCTTCCGCTGAGGTAACAGGGATAATCAGCGGAACACAACGCACTACCTGCGTTATATATCGCCAGCCTGCCGAGTGTTAGTAACGGCCTAAACCTATAACTCATGTTCGTGATACTGGTCGTGCATGCGTTAAAAAGCACGGTAGAAACACAAGAAGGGCTGACTCCATTGCAAGGGTGAGAGCAACCCTCTGCTGTCCAGACTTACCAAGACCTTTGTCCTCTTGCCATCACGGTGCTAAATCCGACCTAGTTCCTTTGCTACTCTACAACGTGATTCAAGCGAACGAGGCTTCTTAACATTGTGCGTCTTGTTTGCAAGTCAGGTAGCAACTGCTCCGCTTTCAAGAAGATGACAGCTCAGTTTAATGCAACTAAGGATCGCAAATCCTTCGTCTTTAGTCTGGGCTTCGCTCATCACGCTTACCTTGAGTGCAAAATCCAATGTTGCAAAAGGCGAAGTTTAAATTGTTCAATACTGGCTCCTCATTTCGACGAGATGTTGAAAACGCCGCCACACCAGTGACGACCTCGTGGGGCGATCTTTCCCCAATGTGACGTCACTCCAGATGGCCCCCGCCATGTCACGTCGCCCTCGAGCGACCTCCCCGTATATGACGTCACCTCCCGTGGCAGTCTCCCAGACTGGTTACCCTGGCCGGCCTCCCCACATGACATAACGTGACGTCACGCCGGCCGCCGGCTGTGTCCTGACGCAACGCCCCGGGGGGGGGGGGGGGGGGGCGTTCTGACGCCATTCACGCGGCGGTAAAGCGGATCACGGATCAGGCGGTTACCGAACACGCGGCCCCCGGCGCCGGCCTCCGCTGCCAGGGAGGCGGCTCCCGCGAGAGGCCCACCGGTCACCCCGTAACGCCCCCCGCTCCCACGGCTCACGATCGACGGCACCGGAAACCGCCCGAAACATGTGAGTGCGGCGGGTAAGCCGCATGCCGCAAAACCGCAGCGGGTGCAACGTTCGGCGGGAGTGTCCGCAGCCTTTTCCGACCGCACTCCCGGGACTAGGAAACGCAGCGTGCAGTAATCAGGTGTCTCGCAAGGCTGACAGATGGCCCGCTGGTGTAATGATACGCTACCGGGCTTGCATGGCTGCTGGGACGGTGAATAGGCAGTGTTGTAGCAAGTTGTGAGAAATAATTTCCTGTCCTAATTTCCTGTCCGCATCGGCTTGGCTCATGGGATTAATGGCTCCTCGCCCAATCATAAGCACTAAAAGAACTGACAAAAAACATGCGGGTATTGCTGCCTTGACGTCCTTTGCGAGGTTGCCATCGAGTTTTCCAACAAACCAGCAATAAGTCTGCTTGCTAAGCTCTATTTGTCTCGACCACGCGATTCTCGAGTCTCTATGACATATGTATGCATGTAGGTCAAGATGGAAACGAAATGTTCCAGTTGCGTCGTTCATGGCACTCAGCGTCTTACTTTCGCAATCCTGTCCATGCATTTGCTCAGCGACTCGAAGTAAACATATTTCTTAATCGCTTCGTTCGTGACTCACTCACGTTACCATTCGCTCCAAAGAAAAGGATTCGCCCTTGCAATAAAGGTCGCGGGATTTCCATTGTCGATGTTCTTGCACGATGGCCGCTTACTGCCGCGGTCGCCACTTCTCTGGACATTGCACTGTCCACCTTCTTCAGAGCCTGTTATTTGCCCGACTTTAAGTGCACCGCGGAATCTACAGCGGCGCCCCGTCCGAGCTATCCTCCAAACGTACAGCGGCATCCCGTCGAAGCTATCCTCCAAACGTACAGCGGCGTTCCGTCGGAACTATCCTCCTAACGTACAGCGGCGTCCCGTCGGAGCCATCCTTCTAACGTACAAAGGTGCCCTATCGGAGCTATCCTCCTAACGTACAGCGGCGTCCCGTCGGAGCTATCCTCCTAACGTACAGCGGCGACCCGTCGGAGCCATCCTCCTAACGTACAGCGGCGTCCCGTCGGAGCTATCCTCCAAACGCACAGCGGCGTCCCGTCGGAGCTATCCTCCTAACGTACAGAGGTGCCCTGTCGGAGCTATCCTCCAAACGTACAGCGGCGTCCCGTCGGAGCTATCCTCCAAACGTACAGCGGCGTCCCGTCGGAGTTTCCCTCCAAATGTACAGCGGCGCCCTGTCGGAGCTATCCTCCAAATGTACAGCGGTGCCCCGTCGGAGCTACCCTCCAAATGTACAGCGGCGTCCCGTCGAAGCTATCCTCCAAACGTACAACGGCGCCCTGTCGGAGCTATCCTCCAAACGTACAGCGGCGTCCCGTCGGAGTTTTCCTCCAAATGTACAACGACGCCCTGTTAGATCTATCCCCCAAACGTACGGCACCCTGTCAGACCTATCCCCCGACCGCTCCAGCTGGCGTTCTTTTGGCGCTGCCCCCGCGGATCGTGCCTGTCGTCGCCTGCAATCTCAGCGATCGCACCTCGACGGTAGCCGAGCGACGGCCGTCCGGCCGTGGCCCGTTTCTCGCAGGGCTCGCCTGGAGGCGGGGCCCCACCTGAACCGGGCCGGGCCATTTGATCGACTGAGTCACGCCGACGCACCGCAGGCTGTATGTGTTCATCTTGCAGCCGACGAGCCGACGGTTCGCTGCTCGCAGGTGGAATCGCCCGACGCGGAGCGGCGGAGAGTGATGCCATAGACTCGAGGAAGCGCGGGAGGGGGGGGGGGCTGTTTGGGGGGGGAGGGGTTCGACAACCGGCGCTGCCTCTGAGAGCGAAGGAGTTCGACAGCCGGGTTTGCCCCTAACGTGGCGCAACGCTGGACATGATCTCGGGTTGGCCTGACTGCTGTGGAGCCAGGGTCCGCGCAACGCTGGACATGATCTCGGGTTGGCCTGACTGTTGTGGAGCCGGGTCCGCGCGACGCGTCCTGCTGGGTCGGATGCTGATGCGAATGGGACTTTGCCGACAACTTCACCCGGGTAGAATGTCAAGAGAGCCACTGCTAAAAGAAATAAAGAATATAACGTCCGGAAGGTGCTGCCATCTCAAAGTATAATTGTTATAGCTATCATTAAAACATGAGATGAATTTGGTACAATACGGAACCGGCGAGCCGCATGTCCGAGCTTGTTTCACGCTTGCAGACACTGTGCTCGTCATCTCCCATCTGTTTTTGTTATCTGCTGCGCTCTGTTTCAGGAGAGGGAGATGTTCAGTCCTGGCCTAATTGCATTGTTTTTCAAGAACAGCATGTAGGGTCGTTGCATATCATATCGCCAAATGTCTGACACACATATTTAAACAAACTTGGCAATTTTCGGAGTCTCAGGCAGGCTTCATGTGTTTGTATGACTCTACTCCACGTTCTGTGCAGACGGCAGGCTTGCCGCAACTGCCGCATGATTTAGTACTACCTCAAACCCCTATCCCTTCAGGATGAGCGCAAATTTGCTTTACCTCATATTGCACGCGGACTGCGCCAATGTTCCCAGTAGGTGATGGAAATGAATCACGTATTTGTTGTTTTCAGGATGTCACGCCGTTCTATAAGTACAGGAGGCCGATGTTCGTCACGAGTTTCGAGCCGTTCGGAGGTAAGTCATCAAACTGCACGCGTTCACTCCTTGTGTTGATCGGGCGCGGTCGTCTCTTTGTGCTAATCTTGCCTTGTTCGAGCCCTGGGAGTTTTTTGCTCTCGGCGAACGTTACTTGCCCTGCTGGAGGTTCGAGGCGTCATTTTGAAAATTTGGTGAAACAGAGAGAGATTCAAAGGACCTCTTTTTCTATAATGCTGAGCGCAGTGCACTTGCAAGCGTTCCTATGCCAGCTTTCCTTTGCTACTAACCTATGTCAGTGCAAGCCGGAAGAAGCAGATATACTTAAAAACTCAGTATGACGTCAACAATGGTATGTGCGCGATTCGCTGGTTCCCATCACCATGATCTACTCTGCGTTGCAGGAATCTTGGGCTTGGAAAGCTTCTGAAGTCGGCGGATACAAGAGTGCACCGCTGGCGGCAGTGTGACGGGAGACCATCATGGATACTGTCCAGGGCAGGGCAGCGGCGACCGGTCGTAGAGCTTCTAAACTCTGACGCCAGTGACCAACCACGCGCCTGCTGAACTCTGACGTCAGCAACCCAATGTGCACCTTCTAAACTCTGACGTCAGCAATTAACCGCGCACCTGCTGAACTCTGACGTCCGTGACCAGCCGCGCGTCTTCTAAACTCTGCGACCAGAGACCAACTGCACACCTTTTATTTAATATTACATATACGAAACGACCTGCATTCAGCACAGCGCCTGCACATACGTTTGCACGAGATGCCCAGCATTTGGCCGAACTCTGACATCAGTGGCGAGCGCCATGTCCTAGTTTTCGAGCTCTGACGTCAATGGCCATTGGTCAGGCCTCTGAGCTCTGCCCTAGTGCCGTCACACATGTGACGATTGTTGGGACGGGCAGAGATACTGAATGCCTGACGGATATGTAGGCCAAACATCGCGCGGCACACAAAGCAAAGACAAAACCAAAAATGGAGCAATGAATCTGGCTGCATTTGTGAGCTTTTATGCAAAACCTGTACCTGTTCACTACTAACATTGACGTTTAAGAACGACGTTTTTGATTAATGCCAAAGTGAGACGCAAAGCACGCGTGCCCCCATTGTCTGGAATTGCCGATGCCAGAGCTAGGCATGACAGGTTAGGCAAGTGGAGCACGTGACAGTGAGGCTCGGATCAGCACGCGAAACGAGGACCAGTCGCTTTCAATCGACCAAAGGCTGCAGATTCAGGTTCTCCTTTCAAATACCACATTCCATGTAGAGGGTCTCAACTGTGATTATTTTTCATTCATTATTGTATATTTATTTTCAGTTAAGGGCGCATTTTCATCGAAATGCGTTTGGCAAACATCGGTGCAGTTTTGCCGAAGTGGACACTGGAGCATGAGACGGCGATCGTCCTTACGTATTTCCACTTAGTGTTGCATGTAATCTAGCCGATATGAAAGTGCACGAAAGCGTTTTGCTGTGTCGCTACCGTGTCAAATCACGTATCCGGTGCGATGGCCGTGTTGAAAGCTGCTTTTGTTGGGCGTCATGCGTGTTGGATAGGTGAGTGTGATGTTGTAGCGCTAGAATAGTTTGTCATGTATTGAGAATATCGCTTGAGAATAAACGTTTATTTAACCGCTATACTGTGTGAACACGTGCTTTAAGCAAACACCGAGAAAGCAGAAATCGACCATTCTCATGAGCATGAGCGTGGGAACCGTACGACCAGGCGCACAATTTCTTCACTCAGGGAACAATACGAATGCTTGGAAGAAGGCCCATCATTGCGACACTGAACGGCTATGTAACTTATATCTCAGAAACGCATGTATTTATTTCACTTCGGAAAAATAGCACACCGAGTGGGGCCGGACATGGGTGAGAATTCGGCCGGGCGTGGACTGCTGTACCGCTCCAGATCATTCCAGACTCGAGACCAAGCATGGATTGGACACTTACCCCATCACATATGTAACCAGAATCAGATAACTAAACCCCCACCTACAGAAAACAACAATGAGCCACCTCTGTCACCCAGTGCGAAGTCACGAAAGAGCTGCCAGTGGGAAAGGTCAAACCGATTCATATCCCGTCCGACAGGGACGATCGCCTTTGGCTGGATCTTACCCACGACAATCGCCTCTCGCAGCATGCCGGTCTGTGCTTCGCGCTCGGTGGACGTTGATTTCAATACTTAGCCCAATGTGGCTTCACGTAAGCAAAGATGAACCACATAAGCCTAGTGTGGCTGAAGGGCCTGCAGAGGTATAATAGCTGCAACAGTAGCACGATCCCAAATGTAACGACGGCCTACGGTTGCTGTTCCTTGACATCGTCGACAAACAGGGTAATCGCCGATTTGCGGCAAACCCAATCAAATGGCCACGCAGGACAAAATCGCAGGCATTTAAAAGAATCCCGGGTTTGTTTTCTGATAGCATCAGTAAAAAAACATCGTCATTATCCTTAGCATCTGCTTAAAGAAGAAAATGAACTAAGTATAGCCCGTTTTGACCAGTGCACTGCTTTTTCTGCGCTAGTTTCATATTTTGTCTGGCACCGCCCTCTCAGGGCTATGGCACACAGAACACCCTCCTTAGGGCTATGCCACACAGAACACCCTGCTTAGGGCTATGCCACACAGAACACCCTCCTTATGGCCGTGACCTGCAGAATGCCCTCCTTAGGGCCGTGACCTGCAGAATGCCCTCCTTAGGGCCGTGACCTGCAGAATGCCCTCCTTAGGGCCATGACCTGCAGAATGCCCTCCTTAGGGCCGTGACCCCCAAATAAGCTGTGCAGTTACAGCTGCATCGACCAATCCGCGGCTGAGACCGTCAGATCACCTGAGACCCTCCACGGCGCGGGGCAGCAGTAACCGCCCACCGGGCGGCGCCAGCCCCGGAGGTCCACCCTCCCTGACCTCCGGCCACCAGGGCGTGGTCTGGGCGCCCGCCGACCCACCCTTTCGTCGGCTGTAACAACCCAGCCCGTCCTTGAGAAGGCACGAGCAAGTATTGAACTCGACCTAGATGCGGAGCCTCCGCTGTCATAAACATATACAATGGGCTGTCGATGCATTTCCGCCATGTTCGGGTCAGGCGGGGCAAGCTATGGCCGAAGCGCACGCCCGGGTCAGGGGTCAAGGGCGAGGACCGGGCGCCGACAGGCCGAGCCTCAGCGAGCGGAGGCGGCGTCTTGTGAGGGACCCGCCGCCAGTCTGCGGCACAACTTCAGGCCGCGCACCAATGCTTTGGTGAAAGGCGGCAAGCGACGCTGGTTTGGTGCCGCTGAGATGAATGGCGAACAGCAAACGCACGGGGTGTGAAAGTGAAATGTTTATTCAGTGTCGCGTGCTCTGATTCTGGACCAGTCGGAGAGAAAGACCCGCCGACAACGGAGAACATCGCTGCCGTATTCGAAGGATTAATAAAAGCATGAATGTTTCACAGTACGAAGGTCCAGGGACAACTATCAGCAAATGAATCCCAACCGTTACTACTGATTGTATAACGTCGCAGACGTACGCAGACAACGTCACAGCAAAATTATTTTGGCTTCCAATTCATCGCAGCGCACTGTTGTCATTGACAGCATTTCTAAGCTCTTTACTTTGTTTCTAACATGCAGCGGCGCCGTAAAGCTACCCGCACGATTGGACAAATTACTTTACTCGTGATGCTCGCCGATATCCCCAACTTAACACGATAAACCAAATGGATACTGAGGCCAGGGAGCGAACAGGTAGGCAATCATCAGGCGGGAAATAAGTCCGCTCTCGACGGCAGATAACAGGCTGTCATCGCGGGATGAAACTGGAGACCCACCTGTGATTACTTAGCCAAATCAGGTCCGTGGGTCAGACAAAGATCATCATAACTTTTTCCTAAGGCAATCTGTTAGAAGTGTCATGTTGAAAACTCTATTGAAAGTATTATGTTAATAACTATGGGAAGTGCCGGGCTTATTAATTCGTCGTTCTCAAGCTTAAATCGGTCCAAAGACGTCATCGATGTTCCTTCAAGGTAGCTTTTTTGCCACCTCAGAGGGTATGGAAATGCTGATGCTATTTCGAAAAAAAGATTAAGATGTCAAAAATGGAGCCTTGTGAAGCCTTGACACGGGTCGCAATCATGGATTTTCGTATATGTGGTGTCTGTGCGGAGAATCATGACGGCGTGACCTACTTAAATGTTGGACTGTGAAAAGGCTTCATTCAAAAACTTAAGGTTTCATTTAACACGCGATCGGGTGAGGGTCATTTTGACCCTCTGAGGGTTTTTCCAGACTAGTTTTCGAACGGCGCGGAGTAGCACCAAATTTGGTACAGCCGTAGCCAATTGATTAAAGGATCGTTTGGTATAAACAACTTGCATATTCCTTGTAAGCTTGCTAACCCACGTCAGGTTAGTCAAGCCATGAATTCAGCGAAGTTAATTTCTCGGGAATCGTTCAATCTGATGCAACAACGGAGTGGTAGACGAAGCCAAACATCTCTGCGATGCTTTATTAGACCACACAGCAATTGAATGAACAATTCCATTGACTTTGGGTCAGACACGAAGGTGATATTTATGTCAAAGCCAACCTGTTCTCTTACTCTAGGGTTTGCGGTGTAGGGTTATTTCTGGTGCTCATTTCTAATTCATTGATAACAGGAACCGCATTATACATCTTCCATGGGCTTCTTGGTCTTGGTCTTCTTCCATGGTCTTGCATGACTTTGGTCACTATGACTTTCCAAAGGTCAAACAAGGTCACTTAACCTAAATGAGCATGAGACCTTTTGCTTAGAACAGATATCTAGGTTGTGTGGGCACTTTGGACACCATCCTAGAGTTTGACCTTGTTCAACCTTTTTGATCCGAAGGTCATGATCTAGGAACCTCAAACTTTGACCCAAGTGCGATGACGTACAGGTCAACACCCCCCGTGAATTTGGTGTTTCTAGCTCCCTTGCTTTTTGAGATCTCAGGGGGTCCAACTGACCCCCACCCGAGCGAGAGGTATTTAACCGGCCACCCGAGCGCGTAAGTTTCAAAGCGGTTTTTTGTCCGGTTTCAGCTAAACTCACCGTGACCCTTCCTTCTGGGGTTTATTCTCAATAGTCCGCGTATCGCAATATACCATCCTATCATAAGGCTCAGCTCCTATTCTGTATCCCTCCGAGTCATCGTTTGCGATCCTTCCTTATCGACACATGCTTTGATAAAACATTCGGGTGGCTCAACATGAATCGAAGGAAGACGTCACAAAGTGCATATACGTGCTAAACACGCGTGCGCTCAACAGGAGCAAAACGCAGCCTTCATTTAGCTAGCGTTCATGATGTCATGCTTCCATTTAGGAAACCGGAGAATAGTAAACATGCTCCAAGTTTGCTTTCTCAACAACACGCAAATTCTTCATTTGAAAAGAAACTTTTCGCAAATGAAATGCCGTCACACATTACCACGTGCTGAAAAGTTTAAGACCGCTGACAAAATACAGTACTACCGCCGCGCACTCGCCTGCCCAGCCTGAGCCTGCCCAAGCTCAACCCGAGGCAAAACTTTGCCCGTCCACAAATTGCGTTACACAGAGACGTAATAATTGTTCGAGCTATTGTCCTCGTGTGGTGTGCTGGTAGGTACACGACGTTTCCGCCAAGTACCTCTCCGACCGTCGTCAGGTGCTATGGAGTGCTCAGAAAATCTCTATGTTTGGCTTTCAGTCACGTGCGTTCCACAACCCGAATTCCCTCCGTGGAACCGCTGGGTTGGAATCAAGGTCTTGCGATTGCGATTCAGTCCTCCACCAACTGAGCTGACCGAGAAGGACATCACGCCTCGGCAAATCACGGTCCCTGAATTTAGCCTTAGCTGGCCGCAACCGTCGTCGCGGAACCACAACACACTGTCACCTCCTCGCGCTGGCTCCAACATAACCCTGTGAGCATGCACGACCCTCGTCGCGGATGCCGGGCAAGCCGACTGAGGCGTGGAGGAACAGCTGCGCATGAAGCAAGCTGCACGGCACAGCAGGGCGAAATGCTTTATGTGAGCGAACCAGCTTGGCCTGACCCGGTCAAACCGCGCGGCGTTTCCTAGAAATAATTGTTCTTGTGCGTAATAGTGGTACGTTCATTGCGCTTGACGTCTTAAGAAATGATATCACCGTCATGTTGCAGCTGCCATCTTGCTATTCACGTTCGCTGATGAAAAATATGATCTTATGTTGACTAAACGAGGTTTATTTTGATTGGCTATCACAATTTCGCGCATCGAAACGAGGTGAATAGGATACTCAGGAGACATTTAGTCATTTGCCCATTTACAAGCAACTAATTTATTGACAGCTGAGGCTCATTATAGCCGCTTCTCGGTATGTAATGTAATGCTAATGTCGGAGAGCTGGTATGTAATGCTACATGAGGTCTAACACCTCTTGTGTGGAAATTAATTTTTTCTCACCGGCGCAGACCCCAATCTGTCCTTACGTAAGCAGGATCCCGAAACCGGCTGTCATCAGACACTGTACCATTACCACAAAATGCGTATGAGATTCGCCGGCTTCTAACTGGTCATGGGTAAACTGGTAATATATTCATAACCCTAGTGGAAGCATAGCACAGACAACATGCAGTTATCATACAGTCACACCGGCATGGGGCGACTGTTGAAGTGATGACCCAGCACTGTTGAATTGATTTTTGTCTGGGGAATCCGCCTTTTGACGTCAATTTACAGGTTTGCTGTCTGTAAATTTTGCGGCCCGATTGTGGGTATTCTTTTCGCGTAAGATAGCATTCGGAGTTGCCACCATATTCTCAAAACTGCCATCAAAACTGGCCACCGCAACCACACGACAGAGAAACCTTTCACTACTTTTTCGAAACGACTGACCGACACACCCATTTCTGGCCGCCGACCCTGACACTCTGGCCCAGATAGCCGAGCTCGCATGTATGGATGATGGATGGTGTCCAGGGCAAGCGTGACGTTTGGCAGCCTCTAAAGCGCCGCCATGACAAGCACGCCCGCCGGGGACAGCCGGTCCCGTGTCACACGCCCGCGGCGCGCGGAAACTCCAACGGCGTGTAGAAATTATGCAAACTGGCCCCACTTTGGTATCTACATCAAATAAGGTCCATAAAAATCATAACGGTTATCAGCATTTTTCGCGCTTGGCTCTTGTCCGCTGTCGCCAGGCATGATAATCCAGCGCTTGAGGATTTCCTCACAGTCTGCATTTCCTGCATGGTCTCATTGTCCTCACAGCGCCTTGTATGTGGTGATGAGCGTAAGGCTAATCTGCATCCGAAGTACCAAATGTCTCTCAGGGCAGGCGTAAAAAACGAATGGGCATTGTACTCACCAGTTTATTGACATACACAGAAAGAAACAAGACACAAGGACGTCGTAACTGACTCGCTTAGACTTCAACAGACTCGACTCGCTCCTCGCGGAAAATCGCTGCAGACAAAACCCGGCCGATCGTGCGCCGACCCGTGGCGCCGCCCGCTCGTGTCCGTGGCCACCTCAGATCTTCAGCACCTGGACGGCGAACTTGTCCTGGAACAAGCCGTCCTTGGTGGTCGGGGTCCTGATCCTGGCGTACGACCCGCCCACCTGGCCCCGGGCCAGTCTGGACGGGTTCACCACCAGGCACCCGCTCACCTCCTGCAACAGGTCAACGCGTCAACAGGGGGCGGGGGCGACGGGTTAGTCAGTCGCCTCCGACTGTCCGGGACAACATATGGGGTCTGCCAATAGTGACCAGCACGACGTGAGAAAAAAATGACTGGGGAGTCAGGGACCGTCTCGCAACCGGCAGCGAAACACGGATTCGGACGGCAGGCGCCGCTTGACCTCAGGACTAGAACCCGGGGGCACGTCTGGGTCACACCAGAGAAAACCTGCCGCTGCTCAGAGCCAAACGCCATCGCCACTGATCGTTGCACCAGCAACGGTCCCCGACGGTAGGAGGCAGCGTCAGGGCCCCGACCGGGGACCCACCGCTCAAGGACCCACCATCCGCGCTGCGCCCTGCCCGGGGGCCCACCGCCCGCAACGCGTCCCACCGTCCGCGCTGCCCCCCGGCCCGGGGACCCACCGCCCGCACTGCGTCCGGCCGGCCGGGGAGCCACCACCCGCATTACGTTCCGCTCCGGGACCCACCGCCAGGGGACCCGGCGCCGGCTCCGCGACCCGCCGGCGGCAGGATTCCCGCGAGGTGACATGGCGACAGTACAGCACGTCACAGACGCACCCTGACCCAACGAGCCGCGGCCGGCCGCCTGCTCCAGCTGCAGGATCAGCCGCCAACGGCACGTGGACGAGCGGCGGCGGGTAACCCAGGTTAAGTCCCGGCGGTCCCCCACCCGGTGCAGCGGCGCGAGCAATGACAGCGCGCTCACAGGTGAGCGTGGCCGAGGTGGGCCGCAGACTCGGAATGCATGGGCGGGGTGTGCGCGCGAACTGTGAGCACCATACTGACCCCGGCGCTCACGAGACTAGAACAAGGGCGTGCCTGGTTCGGAGCGTGGACGTGCGACAAACAACGCCAGTGACTGACCCGACTGGCGGCAAGGGAGCAACAATAGTGGCTGTTTAGAGGTGTGCCGGTGGGGACCATGAGCTGCAGTGTCACGGCCGCTGCACAGTGGGTGCACTCATGGGCCCCGCCGTCAGTCGGAGGTCGGTATGCATTGTTCTGTCGGCTACCCGCTACGCCGTCCGTCGACACTATCACAACCACCCACGCTCCACGTGACAGTGGAGCAGGACAATCGACCGGTCGCACGCCAAAAGAAAATGATATAATTAAAATCCTGCTGCACGTATAACACGCCGATTGCGGACCGCGTTGGTTTCCGGCTACCGATGAAATGTGACAACTGGCGCGCGGAGCGGGCGGTAACGCATGGCGCGGCGATCATCCGCGGCGCGTCAGACGAGAGGTGACGTAACACCAGACGCTAGTCTCACCGTCCCCCCCCCCTCCCCCACCCGCCTCGCCCCGCACCTTGACGAAGCCTCTGAAGTCGGAGGGCGTGATGAGGAGGTGCGGCAGCACGGGCAGCTGACAGTGCTGCTGCCAGTGCTGGAAGTCCAGGCCCACGCTCTCCTCGGCCGGGTACAGCGGGTAGAACGACTGCTGGCCGATGAGGTAGCCGGAGAGGCGGGCCAGCCGGTCGCTGGAACCGGGGCCCGGCCTGGCCACGCACAAGCCACGCGTCAGTCACGGCTTCTGCACCTTTCAGAGGCTCGTGTTTTCCAGTACGGGCGCTGAATGACTGATAGTATGTGAACACTCTTGCACCGCACTACGGCGTGCACGACGTGATGAATGACTCCTACACCTTGCGGTTTATTTTGCACTGCATCGCCAACTGCGTACTTATTTTGGCGTGACGTTGCGAACTACATGCACACATAATCCATCGCCTAACATAACTACTTAAAAGTCATGAAATTGGTAACAAAGATAAACAGCAGCCCTTCTCATCCGCGCCTATTAGTTTCCGAGGGCCGGGGGGTCGGTGGCGCCCTCACAGTTTGATATCCTGCTGACTGAGGTGCATGAGCACGTCGGTAGATGTCGCTCCGATCACCAGGCCGTCAACGGCGAAGCAGCACGGGTTCGGCAGCATGGTGAAGGGGCCGGCGGCAGTGGCCAACGGTGGCGTGGGCATCACCGGCTCGGCGTGCAGGTCGGCCGTCGACGGCAGCAGCAGCACCTGCGTGTGCGACCTGCGGGGGTGGAGGTCAGCAGAGGTCAGCAAAGGTCAGCGGCGGACCGCAGCCGTCGCAGCCAAACCAGGCAAGGCTTGCAGCGAGCTGCGACATCAGAACATTAGACCAAGCCTGCACCAGCAGCGGCGGGCCCCCGGCTTATGACCGTTGAGCATGACTTGTTGAAATTAAGTCACGGTGGAAAATCCCGGGTCGACAATTTCCGGCTCGTGCTTTTGCAACTGCACACCTTAGTCCAGCAGCGATTCATAGCGTGTGACGCACAACTCTGCAAACTTTAAAACAATATGACGCGTTTTCCAGGCTCGACCTTCAGCACGTAATCTTGCTAGAAATGTTTGGCAGACTGAAGCTATTATTTTGCTGTTGACGCTGTCTTGCGTTGTTGACGCTGTCTGTGCAGCTACACGTTCCAAATATGTTCAATCTTTTAAACGTCCCAAGTTTTATTTTAATTCCATAAATCATCTTAATTCTATTAACTCGTTTACTAGTGACCATATGCCCAACCTTGAAACGGCAAGTATTCTCACGACATATCACAATGATTGTTTGATGTCTTCATTTATACGGCACTTCATAACATTCTTGGGTTCAGCTATTTTCAGCTGGAAACCCATAATTCCAAACAGCCCGGAGCTTAAAGGAAGTGTTCCGCATATGTACGGGGTTTTGAGATGAAAGAGCCACTTTCAGGATCATTCGGTGCAGTTCAATATCTTCGACAGAGGGAAAATCTCTTTTAAGCGATATTGCACACACCAAGCATGTTTCTGCGGCATCCACGCAGCTCTGTTGACCATTTTCTTACATATTTCATACGCACGACGGCAACGGAATTGGATAGCAGTCAGAGGGCCGGCGTCACATTTGACTGGTTTTAAAGGAGAACCATGCCGTCACCGGTTAGCTCGTGGTTCCCGATCCATACGCACTTAAGCAGTGCACTGAGACTCAAAACAGGAATACCTCGCCCAACCGCACCAGCGACTTATTGAAAATGCGCTCCGTCAGGGGCGCGGACCGCTGCACTCTGGCTGCACACTACTGCAAAGCGCTGGCCCTAATCATGGGCGTGAAATACGTCATTAAATGCGTCATCGGACACTCCGGAGCTGATATCAAGTCCGCGAGGCCCTGCTCTCAGTCCTCAAAAGCTCAGAGTCCCTTAACCGACCCCTGTTGGAGGAAGCTCGGCCGAACTGTCCACCCACCCAGACGGACCAGTGCTGCATGTTTCCCCAATAGTGGACACTGGAACAGGCGGGAGACGAACACCTCCCGCAAGCCAACACACCCGGACCAATACTTCCGCCAGCGGAGCACACTGATGAATGCAATACACGTACGACTGGCGCGATACGCATCGGGCCTCACGGACCACACGACGCACCCTTCCACGGAAGTGTTTAGTACGATCAGGTGGCCTGTCGCACTTGATCAGTCACAAGCCGTTTTGACAGTTCTCCTCCTGTCCAGCACAGCGGCTGAGCAAAGCTGAGACACAACAGTGGCGTGCCTGAGGTTTATGCACGACTGCAAGAGCTGTCAGTACTACCGCACACATTACAGCTGTTCTGAGACACAACTCAACCATTTTCATTTCCGAATAATGTTATATATTTTTAGTCATTTACCGCCGTAGGTAGCCATTGATAAGCTGTTATGGGAGCAAAATGACCACAGAAGTCGACGCGCCCTAAAACTCCAATCAACAACAACTGTTCTGATGACGTTGCAGAGTCGTGCTCCAACAGTTCCCCTGGAGCACGTTCCGCCTGAACTTCCAACGAAACGTACAACAAAGATTCTTTTTTATGAAACGCGACGAACATCGTCGCGCAACCTTTCACGCATATCCAGCGACTCGTCGGCTCACATTAGAGCTCAAGGCCCATGCCACAAACGGGACTGAAGCCCGGGCAAGGCTGGTGTCCTGATGTCTTCAGGCGGAAGACACGCGGTCAGCAATAATCGTTTGCAGGCTCCTTCAATCCCATTGTACAACGCGTGTACAAATGTACTGTTACGGCTATCCCATAATGTACGTGGTGGCCTGGCGAACAAGCTCAGCAAGGACCACTCTCCCTGGGGGTGACGGTGAAGGTGCGGGGAAGGGGAGGGGGACTGGCCACCCGCGTGGCCGTCTCGGCCTTCCAGCCTGGCCGACTGCTCAGTCGGACTCTCAGCCTGCCGCCCTCTGTCGGCGACACCGGCCAGAGTCACGCACGCACAGCGGAGCGACCGGCAGCAGGGGTGACGCGTCCGGCCGGCTCCGCCTACGGCGTCTAGCGGACGTGGGGGGGGGGGGAGGCGCCAGTCCTGGGGTGGCAGCCGGGTCACATGTGCCGCGGAGTCGCATGTGGCGGCCCCGTTCTCGCCGCGCCAGGAGCGTACTGAGCACGCCACGAGCCGGCCAGCCGGCAGCCCCGAGGCCCGAGGCCGCCGGACCCCTGCCCGACCCGCGTGTTTGCTGAGTCCCGCGAGCAGACAGAGCGTGGCGGGCCGCCCCCGGGTGATCACTTCTGGGCGAGGATACAGCGGAGCCCGCTCCCCGCTGAGCAGGAGGCCCGGCAGTCCGGTCACAGCCGGGGGTGGGGGGAGGTTGCGAGGTAGCGAGCACGTCCACAACACCAACAACGCAACATCGGACAACGCGTTCCGTCCAAATGTGTGCTGCAGTCTATGTGTAGGAAGAGCAACACCAATAAGTCCGTTTCGTGCATAGAACACGAGCTCCGTAGACAGGGATTTATATAAATATATATATATATATATATATATATATATATATATATATATATATATATGTTATAATAACTCACAGCAGCACCGTAGTAGACAGGAGTAGGGCGGCACTACACCATAATATCCGAATGAGATTTATTTTGGAGAACAAAACACAATGTTCGGTTCAGCACCTCCGCGACAATTTAAGAGCCGTGTTTCTTCCCTTCAGACACTTCGCTTCAGACACACACACACCGACGGAAGAGGCACGGGGAAACAAGGGCCCGGGGGAGGGGCACGTGGGAGACGAGCGGAAATTACAACTTTCTGAAAAGTTATCATTACCCCTATGAATGATGGCTGGAAAGAAAAAATTGAAGAATATATTCCTTTCTTGAGAGAACTTCCGGTGCCCATGACCGTGCCACTTAATTTAGCGTTCTGTAAAAATTTCACACTTTTACTCGCTCCACCGAAACAAGTGCACGCATGCGACAATTTTTGGTGTCTAATGGTGTGGGAGACGGCCCGCGTTTTGTTATAGACTGTGGGGGCGTATCCCTCACGGTTTTGCGTCACTGAAAGCCATGGGTTCATCCTGACTTTCTAAGTTCCTATTTTTACAGCTCTCATGCCACGTGAAGCCGCACCTTCAATGATCAAGGGGCAAACATCTAATACCTGAAAATAGTGAACAGAGATGGAGCAGATTACTTGCACCAATTGGAGTTCGAGAATGTTGAATTTCCTACGAATAAGGCCATTTCTCTACCAATTGTTATCCTCACGGTATGATCTACAAGGAATGCCCTAGGCTGCACCTCAACGACCACCACTTCCATCGAGCCCGGAGTAACATAGCTGCATTCAGAGAATCACATAATCAAAGGAACGATATCCAGAACAATCTGACCAATAAAGGTGTTGATTTGCCGGTTCAGCAGTCGGGTTACGGCAGAGTACCCCAACAGCTAAGTCGACGGATGATGTTGATCTGACTTACCCGGCCAGCGCAGTGCGCATCAGCTCCAACAGCCGGTTCCACAGCTGCTGATACGTCTCCGCCAGCTCGTTCTCAATAATCTGAAAACGAACACCCGTCAGCGGGACGAACACCTGGAGGTCAACTGGAGGTCAACATCCTACGCGGACGATGGGGCCATCGGTACTAAAATCGGCGGCACGAACAGACCTCATGTTCACGATCCTGCGACCCCATACAAATGCGTTGCACGCGTTTCCATACCCCTAGCCACACGGGCACGAGTCCACACGCACCCAACCACCTGGTAGCCAGGCAGACAGCGCACTGTTCAAACCTGCAACAGGAGAAATGGCTGGCCCAGCAGAAGCTTTCCCCAGCACTCCGCACTCCGCACTCCGCAACGTCAGCATTTCTACCTCCGAGTTGTCATTCCCCATGACGTTAAACATTGGTGCTTACGGACGCGTCATCCGCCACAGTCATTTCATACCCGGACCGGTTCTGGCCATGCCAGACATGTCTTCTGTCGGCTTTCCGGTGCTCTTAGCTGGTGAGTAAACGGCCCTGAACCCGACGAGGAAAACAACTCAAGATCGCCTTGAATCCAAAGAGGAAAACAACTCAAGATCGCCCTGAATCCGACCAGGAAAACACCTCAAGATCGCCTTGAATCCGACAAAAAAAAATCAAGATCGCGCGCTAATCAGCCACCGGTGATTCGCCAATGAGCGAGTTGCGAGTCGTGACTGTCCAGGGGCTGCTCGAGCTTTCAGAGCGCGTTCAACCCGAACATGCCTGGACCGCTGGCGGGTGCCTACAGCGGCAGCAGACGGACCCGTTCGGTCTCCGGAAGCTGCGCAGTCCCCGGTGATGGATGGCTGCTGTCTAGTGAGCACACGTTTACTCCAGTCGCCTGATGATGATAATGATGATGACGAGCCCCGACCGACTGCTCCAGAGTCAAAATGACTGTTTAAGATACCCTACTGACTACTTAGAGCCCCAACTGACTACTAAGTGCTTCGACGGATTGTTTAAGAGTCCCGACTGACTGCTTACTCAGAGTTACTACAAACCAGCGCAATGCGCTTCAAAGATCAGCAACCGGTAAAATCTGAGGCATAAATCGCATGTTTATGAAGACAAACTCATCGCACCAGACCGGGCAGACGCTCAGTCTAACACTCGTGAGTTCGATGCCAAGACGGCAAGGACACCAATGACGGAAAGAACACGGAAAACCCGTACGGCTTCCGTACCACGGGGGTCAGCATCAGTCAATGCCGTGCAGGAGAGATTACAAGCATTCTGACCTTCCCGCCCTTCCAGCACATTCGCTTCAAGACGTAGTTCGCCGATCAAAGCGTGGTACACCGACTTCCGGCTCCAGGCAGGACCTGCCCGGACCGCACATGACGCCTGAGACGCTTGGATGCTGGGCTGACTGCCGCCCGCTCATATGCTGATTGGCCTTTTTTGAGCAAGGGAATAGGCAACAGACAGCGAGCACAAGCCGGGGTGCAATAGCATGAGCAAAATATCGACATCCCTGCCACCCAAGCGGCCGAATATTGAAACACTAAATTCCAAAGGCCCATGCGCATGGCCACGAGCATTTTCTCAAACGGCTAGGGCAGGCGATGCGTCCGAGCTACAGGTCTGGGGCGTTACAGATCTGAGTCACCCCCGCCGGCCGCGTAAATGACACTGCGTCGGTTTGGCGCGCTGCGACGAAAGAGTGTTCATTTGTCAGATATATAACGACCCATGGCGATTTATTTGATAGATCGTCTGCGCCTGGTGCTGCTCACCACGTGAGCGATGCTGTAAACTTCACCTTCGTTACAGAAAACCAACGCGGTGCGATTCCTAGTTCTCCGATTGAAATCTTAATAGTCGGGATTCGCGGTAACCTGGAACTGGAACCTGCACGTCGACGCTCTCTGCCCTGTCAAGGCGATCAGCTTCCGCCGCTCCGAGCGGCCCTGGCTGAGCAGCAGCGAGGAGCTGCACGACCCGCAGGGGAGGCGAGACACCGCTCGGCGCGCGCGTGACGTCACGAAGACGGACGAGGCACAACGTAAGAACAGGGCCCTCAAAAAGGAATTCACTAGTCGGCTCAGGACCCCCCAAAGTTGACTTCTTCAAGTGCGACCCTACCGAAACATCGAAGAAAACCTGGTGCAAGCTGAAGAAATACGCCATCGCTTACAAACCGCCAAAATCTACCAACACTCTGGACCCGACAGACGCCGACAAATTCAACGAATACTTCGCCACAGTGGGGCAGCGTACTGCCAACACCCTGAACAGCGAACCCGGTGCGGACCTGCCTCTGCAGCTGCCAAGGGTGGTCAGTGGCGCTTTCCGCGTCAGACCGGTCACCCTGACGGAGCTCAGTCTCGCGCTGCGCCGCATGAACAACTCCAAGACAGTAGGTCCGCACAATGTATGCCTATCCGTGATCAGGAAGTGTTTTGAAGTGGCTGACCCCCAGCTGTTACACGTTGTAAACCACTATATCACCACCGGTAGCGTACCGACCATCTGCAAAAATTGCGACAATCGTGCTTTTCGTGCACGATTGTCGCAGTGAGGGACTGGTGTCGGAGCGGTCGAATTACGGCGTTCTCAGTGTTGTAACGCGGCTGACGGAGGAGGCTGTACCCAGGTTTTAGAATGTGTGACTTGTCACCACATTCTTGTGGACTCACAACACGCGTGCCGTCCTCACCACTCCACCGAGCATGCAGTCATCGATATAGTTAGCCACACAGGCAACAACATGGACGCCGGTATGGTCACCACCATCAGCTCAACTGACTTGCCAAAAGCCTTTGATTGTGTAGACCGGTCCGCTCTTTGAGCCAAACTGGAATCCTATGGTATTTCACCACACTGGTTTTCGGATTATTTCACCGACCGCCGACAACCTGTGAAGGGTGGAAACGGGCTGAGCCTTGAGGTCGCGTATGGCGTGGTTCAGGGTAGGATAGTAGGACCGCTGATGTTCCACTTCTTCACCAACGACACCCAGTGTTGTGTTTCAGCTACGTGTAAACTGGTGTCATATGCAGACGACATGCAGCTCATGCATGAATCATCACCATGTGCCTGTGGTCTCCCACAGCTGCGTCCGTGTGTTGAGTCCGATCTGACTGCAGTCCCAGTATGGTTTCGTCACAATGACATGAAGATCAACCCATCAAAACTGAATTCGTTGTTGCTCGCACACCCACCAACACCCTAAAGCTGCCGGGCTGAGAGTGAGTTTTGATAACTCCCAGCTGTCTCCTTCAGAGTACATCAAAGTACCAGGGGTGCTCTTAGATAAAAATATCAGCTGGCAGCATCAAACGGCCAAAACTACTCAGCGCTGTTTTGGCTCCCTGATAACTATTTACAAGCTCATGCATGTGCTTCCCAGCTCCACAATAAAGTCCCTAGTTGAGTCACTGGCCTTCCCTCAGATCAGATATTGCTTACCTGCATGGGCCCCGACAACAGTCGCTCGGCGCCAGCGCCTTGATAAGGCTGTTAACTTCGCGGTGAGCATTGTTGCCGGCAAATGCAGGAGATCACATCACGGAATCCAGAAAACAGCTAAACTGGCCTAATTTCGACGAGCCTGGCACCCACCGCGACTGCACATGTTTGCATCACGCCATTTACGTGTCTGATCGGCCACGGGCTTTCAGCGGCACACCAGAGCCACCGATGACGAAACTGCACTGCAGACGAGCGGTGTAAAACACCCTCGCTTAGAGTGCATGAAAAGGGCATTTCCCTGTCGAGTCGTGGTGGCATGGAAGTGCCTCTCTGCTGCCACACGCCAGTGCAAAAACTGAAATGAGTTCAAGGAAAAAGCAATGTCTTTCATCAGAGAACCCACCTAAATCGACCAACTGGCCATGACGTGCAGGTACTGATTGTATCACAAGTCGCTCATGTTCTACAACATCGTACGTGTATTGCTGGCGTTGCGTCCCACTCGCATGTGTTGCGTGTTCTGCGTTTATCTATGTGGCATGTACTGACGCGGCGCTAGAATAGCCACCCGCTGGATTTCGCCAAGGTTCGCAGCACTAATAATGATAAGTACACCTTGTTTCCAGCAGACAGCACGGCAAGACACCACAGCGCTACCATTAGAGAACGCTTGCCAGAGCGTGCTCCCAACAACTTCTGCGTCGGTGTCAATTGTATCTCCGTCCTACAGGACTGACAATGGCAAGGATAAGTTTGTCTAGACGCCCACTAAACTGTCCCGCACCCCGCTCAGTGGCACCGACATGCACATTCTGCGTAGACCTACCAAATGGTGCGCTTCGCTTCGCGCGTGAGGAGCTTCCATTCGTAGCTTCGGTGCCGGTGTCTCTGGGCTGGGAGTGGCTACCTGAGTCACGCGCGTGAGGAGCTTCCATTCGTAGCTTCGGTGCGGGTGTCTCAGGACTGGGAGTGGCTACCTGAGTCACGCGCGTGAGGAGCTTCCATTCGTAGCTTCGATGCGGGTGTCTCAGGACTGGGAGTGGCTACCTGAGTCACGCGCGTGAGGAGCTTCCATTCGTAGCTTCGGTGCGGGTGTCTCAGGACTGGGAGTGGCTACTTGAGTCACGCGCGTGAGGAGCTTCCATTCGTAGCTTCGGTGCGGGTGTCTCCGGGCTGGGAGTGGCTACCTGGGTCACGCGCGTGAGGAGCTTCCATTCGTAGCTTCGGTGCGGGTGTCTCAGGGCTGGGAGCGGCTACCTGGGTCACGCGCGTGAGGAGCTTCCATTCGTAGCTTCGGTGCGGGTGTCTCCGGGCTGGGAGTGACTACCTGAGTGACGCGCGTGAGGAGCTTCCATTCGTAGCTTCGGTGCGGGTGTCTCTGGGCTGGGAGTGACTACCTGGGTCACGCGCGTGAGGAGCTTCCATTCGTAGCTTCGGTGCGGGTGTCTCCGGGCTGGGAGTGACTACCTGGGTCACGCGCGTGAGGAGCTTCCATTCGTAGCTTCGGTGCGGGTGTCTCCGGACTGGGAGTGACTACCTGAGTCTCGCGCTCAGGCAGCACAAGCCTTCACCCAGCCCTCGACTTCTCGAGAACTCAGCCATCGCTCAGTTTGCATCGTGGCCGTGCGCCGATATGCAAACTTGTGGGTGGAAAATGACGCCCTTCACGTAGGATCCCGGGTTCTCAGTTTTGAATTCGTTTCCCGATCTTGGTCCTCCATTCATGAGGCCTGAATTTTCGGCTGATTTCTAGCTCCTCCCAGGCGGCACCAGGTGGCCGTGGCGCCGCTGGCACTGGAGTATCGCCAGTGATACTGCGAGTGGCGTGGTGATCGGTCCGATTTTGCATTCGCAAATACGAAGGACATGTACGATTTGTGCACCAAATGTCGCCTTGATCAGGGGTAAGAACCCCCTCCCCTCTCCACGGACATTGTTTTTAAGGCGTCTCGACCGCTCATGCTGAGGACATCAGCGCTGACTACGGCCCGCTGTTGCGGTCTCTTCTACTGGGCGACTGCGTCTCTAAACGACCAAGTGCTACTGATTCCCAGTACACGCACTGGACCTCTCTGAATGAGAAGCCCTCCGTCACCTGATTCGACAGGAGCTCCTTTGAACAAGAGCCGTTATGGGCGTAATGTGACCTTTGATGTCGACGCGCCCTATAGCCCCACATCATCATCATCCTGAGCAGAGACACAAAAAGTGTTCTGACAAAGCCGCTAGAACAATTACCTTTCAATGACAAAATCATACTACTGCCACTGTCACCAAAAGTAGGCGTGGCTGCTGCCACACAAGCTATGCGCACACTTCTGTGCCCAGAAAGACGAGCGCTGCCGGAGGGAAGTGTGGGCTCCTTGCCACCGTTTGCCCACGTAACTGTCCCGACAATACGGTACTTTACACAGTGCGGTGCAGCTCCGGCCCGGTGGGCACCATTCCGCCGCCCTCCTCCGCCGCAGTGACCGACCTCGTGTCAGCAAAGCACCACGCAACTATCACCATTACCACCAGCGTTCCGGAGGGCCCGGCAGGGCACGGGGACGGACCTTGGCGTCGATGAAGGGTCCCATGAGCAGCAGCAGGTGCGGCTTGAGGCGCGCGGCCTCGGCCAGCAGGTCCCGGAGCGGCGTGTACAGCAGGTCCTCGGCGGTGGTGAAGGGGCCGCAGGCCGCCAGCAGGGTCAGCTCTGCGGCACGGACGGGCCGCGTCACACCACCGGGTCAAGGACGCGCGCTGGCAGGGACGCAGGGACGGGCTGCATCACACAACCGGGCTAAGGACGCTCGCTGGCAGGGAAGCAGGGACGGGCTGCATCACACAACCGGACCAGGGACGCTCGCTGGCAGGGAAGCAGGGAAGCAGGGACGGGCTGCATCACATAACCGGACCAGGGACGCTCGCTGGCAGGGACGCATGGACGGCATAACGTCGTCTGCTGGCCATAACGACGACAGGACCGAGATGCCGATCTCAGAGGGGAGACATCGCACGGCCCGGACAAGGATAATGACCAACAGGGAAGGAGGATCAAAGCACGCACATACAGAACGCAGCAGGGGCGAGGGTCACGGGAGGCATATGACGGGGACACAGGTGGAGTCCCCGGGGGCAGGGACCATGCCACCAAGGCATGCGTGCTGGCTTCGGGGGGGGGGGGAGGAGGGGTGGGGAAGGGGGAACAAGGGCACGAAGGCCATCAGATGGTGGTGTCCCGGCCAAAGATCGGACGAAGCCGCTGGACAGAGGTTCTCGACTTCGATAGCACCACGAGCTGCCGCTGTGACGGCAGACCACCGCCACAGAGGATCATGGGGTGCCGCAGCTGACGCCCAGTCTCCACACCGTTACCCAGCTTCCCCTACTGAGAACGTCCTGATACCGCCGGCCTAACCCACCAGAATTCCCGGCTCTTGTAATCCCCTTCACCGCAAGCCCGACACCAGTCTGAACCTCCCAGCACCGGCCTGCGCCCACCGCAGCGGCCGGGAACCACCCAGGCTTTCCCACGCCCCTCACACCCCCTCCGCCCCTCGCGGCGGATGGCGCCACATCATCGGGCCGACGTACCGTGCGTCAGGTGGGCCGGGTCGGCGGGCGGCGGCGGCGCCGAGCTGAAGATGCTCGACGCCACGAACGTCTTGCCGGTGGGGTTCACCCCGGTCACCGCCACCACCTGGCGGACGGCAGGCGAACCAGACGTTCACGCGGGTGATGAGGCGACACAAAGCTGCTGAAATTCGGTGGTCCGGCGCGAATGGTAGTCGCGCTGGCATAATTCAGGGGGAGGGGGGGGGGGGGGGGTGCACTGTACTTTTGCTTAGTGCCAGCACTCCGCATTTAAAGCTTGACTGATGTGCAAAACGAGTAAGGAAAATAAGGCGCTAGTAGAAACACAGGTAAGAACTCCCCAGGCTGGTTTATACTGATAGCGCTAGTGCAATGCCTCACCGCCTCAGTCTTCTGCCATGCTTTCAGTGGAATGTGAGCGTGTCTTAGGGGAGCCGCGGGATGTACCCTCCCCAATTCTGTCCTCAAATTAAAATCGCCTCGTAAGAACAGTGCAGCAGCCGACCGCACACACCGACGGCGCCTCCTTCACACCAGTCCTGTCCGCGCAGTACCTGTCCAGTGAAGAGGCCAACGTCCTGGACCTGCGACACGTCCAGCTCCACGTGTCGCGCCTCGCCGTAGGTGCCCTTGCCTCCCTCCAGCAGGATCGACTTGGAGTTGAGCCGACCCTGGCCGTCGCAGGCGATCCGGCCGACAGCGCACACCGGCTCCTGTCGGAAGTTCAGTTTGGTCATGTTCCCGGCAGATGTCTCTGGCCGGCGCCATTCTCGCACCGCCACGTTGCAGCGGGACAAAGGCGGCAAAAACGCTGACGCTGGGAGTGGGTTGGTCGAGCGGCGAGACGTTTTTGTTCGGGCGGCGACAGTGCACCGGGACTGCGCCGCGGAATGCCGGCGTGCTCCGTGAGTCCCGCGCTCCAAGCGCGCGGCGCGCCGGCGGGTGCCCCGCCGGCCAGCGCCGCCTCCGTGCATCCACACCGGCCGTATCAGTCGGCCCCGCCCCGCGCCTGTCTCCCGGCCAGCGGTCCGACGACCGGTGACTCAGATGCCGTCCGGAGTCGTCGCCCAGATCGTATCTCCGCCGGTGTATCGGCCCCGCCGCCCCGGGCGCGCGCCCGGCGTGACGTCACCCCGCCCGCCGGCGCGCCGGCGGGAAACCGGCCGGGCGGAGGATTTGGCGCCAAGGGAGACGTGGCGCAGACAGTCGGAGAATGGGTCCTAACTAGGTGTCTGTAACGGGGAACGCGGCAGTTAACAGCGGTGACGCTGTGATGAAATTGACGTGACTGTCAACGTGATTGGATCAGCGCCGTGTATCGCGACCTTATCAACTTCACGATGCCCATCAGTCACCCTTTGCAAATCCCGCGAGCAGCCCGGCCTGCAGACGGACCGGAGGCGCCGGCACGCGGCCACCCGCCGCCCTTCCCGTCCGCAGCGACTGGCTCACGCCGGCGGCAGCGGCCGCTCGGCGCGGCGGTGGGAACGACCGGCCCCACGTGGTCGGCGCCCGCTGACGTCACAGGTCACGTGCGCCGGCCGCCGGCGCGGGCGCGGGAGCCGTTCAGGAAGTCGGCGGGATGCCGGCCGTGGCGCGGAGCCGCGCGGCGCGGCGCGCCGGCCGCAGGCGACTGACTGGTCGGTGTTCGGAAGACGGCCAGGCTGAGACGCCATGCACTGGGCAGCGCGACACGACCACGGACGCGCGCAGGCCGCAGCAGAGGCCGGGACAGACCAGAGGGACAGATGGACGGCAGCGACTGGAAGGGCGAAGTGAAAGGGGTGGGAGGACCACGGACCGATCTTCGCGCTGTCGGAGGGGAGGGGGGAGATAGCTTTGTTACCAGCAATTCATCGGCCATTCGTATTGAAAACCAGCTCGGCAGCGGACGAGATCGCAGACTATCGAGCGGGTTTGAGCAGCACCAGATTCAGATCCCAGTTCCACGACCTCACTCACGGCCAGCTGCCGACATCGTCCACGGCCGACTGCCGACCTCGTCCACAGCCGATTGCCCACCTCGTCCACAGCGTACTGCCGACCTCGTCCACGGCCCACTGCCGACCTCGTCCACGGCCGACTGCCGACCGATTCACGACCTTGCTAAGGCTCACCATGGCCTCGCTAAGGAAGACTTACGGTCTCAGTCGCAGCTGACCCCAACCTCGCTCACGGCTGACTCACGTCCTCGCTCACGGCTGTCTCATGTCCTCACTCACGGCTGTCTCATGTCCTCGCTCACGGCTGACTCACGTCCTCGCTCAAGCTCTCTCACGTCCTCGCTCACGGCTGACTCACGTCCTCGCTCACGACCGACTCACGGCCTCGAAAATATGACTCACGCAAATTGACCAATCGAATGCCCGTGATGCAATCAATTTAGTATGTACGCATTCGGATGGCGTTATCCATATAATCCGTATTCGCAAAGCATGCTACCGCATCACAAAGATCGACCAAGAGCCCACTTAGCGCCAAACAGAATTAGTTTCGCCGAAAGATCCTGCTTTGAACACGTCATCTCAACACTCATCATCCGCCTTGTTTCAGATAGGCTCACAGCTGTGGCCCAGTCGTTACAAACGGAGAAATTTCGGTTCATTTCAAGTCAAAACCCCTAGTCATACGCGATGCAAATCTGACATGAACGCCAAATCGAGATAATCAGTGTATTATACGTCTAAACGATGTAAGACGCCCATTCGACCCGGCCGGAGAAGATCCGACAGGTGTCGAGTGGTCCCAACACGCCAAAAACCGGGGTACGGAGGCGGGGAAACGTCTGTTAGCGAACGGAATACCCTCGGCCGGCCAGTCAGATGGCAGACGGGAGCCGCTCGGACCGGCAGACGCTCAGACGGGGTCACGGACCCGGGCCGGCTGCCGTCTGTGACGGTCAGATCACAGACGGGAGCCACTCAGACCGGCCGGGGCTCAGACGGGGTCACGGACCCGGGCCGGCCGCCGTCTGTGACGGTCAGATCACAGACGGGAGCCGCTCAAACCGGCGGAGGCCACCCGGGCCGGCCGCCTCGTCACAGCCGGCGCCGGACAGGTGCCGGCGGCCCGGCAGCGCTCCTGCCTCCGCAGCAAGCCGCGGTGACGTCACCCGGTCATGACGGGACGGCCTGCGCAGGGGATAGACAGATAGACAGATAGACAGATACACGCAGGACTGACGGTCAATGGCACCTACGGCGTTGTCGCGCGAACCGTACAGACCGTCACAACGAAATACTGACGGCAGCCGGTTCGCAGCAATACGCTGTCAGCTAGCAACTGCACAGCATATCTACGAGAAGCAGTCTTCATTCAGACCGGTGCCGTTGTTTTCCAATGAGGCATTATTTTGCCAGTGGTTTGGCGCTACCATACACCTCAACTGCAAAGCGGCGGCCGAAGTCAATTTGACGCCGTGGCTGTCGTGTCGGCGTGACAGGCGACTCGACCATGGGTCATTCAATGGAGCATTCTGTGATGTGCAATTAACCACACGACAGATATGCAGACCGATTCTCGCCGTCTGACTTCCTAACGGAACAGAGCGCCGACACCGCAGCTGCAGCGAGCGTCTCCAAACGTCCCGCTACAGGACGGCGTATGTAAATAGCGCGCTGCAATCGGGTGCTGGCAGTGCAGACATCGAGCACCCCGGCTCTGGGTCGTCGCTTTCCCACGCGCTCCAGCCCGCGCCTTCGCCTGGAATCGCCCGCTCACGTCATCCGGGTAAGGGACACCTGGCGGCATCCTGTCGCACCCACCCCCGCTCCCATTCACTGGTTCTTCCCGCGCCACCGCAGGAGCTCGTCCCAAGGCGGGCAGCTGCAGCCGCCGGCCCCGGGGCGGCTCCGTGAGTCAGCCCCGCGGCCACCCCCGGCTGGGAGTCCCGCCCGAGAGGCCCCGTAAGCCTCGCTGGCATCCCAGGGCGGGGCAGAAACCGGTGAGGAAAGCCCAGGTCACCTGAGACGGTCACGCTGTTCACCCAACTCATTCGGCTCCTCTGAGTAGCATGCCAGTTGAAATGGTCCGCTGGTCTAATAGTCGAATGGCTTCGAACGGTCTGAAAGACCTCTAACTTAACCAAAACGACGCCACTTGGACCACCGGTTGGATGATTAGACCACTTAGAACCTCACTTTTGACTTTCCAGTTACACAGACCTCCCGTCTTCCGTTCAACTGCAGAAAATAATGTCCCCGTCCAACGTTTCGGAGCTGTGCGCTCCTTTCAACACTACCGCGCCGGTCTGGGTGCTGGCCGAGCCCTGACGTGCCTCGTGAGACACAGAGCGCCCGCGCCTCACGCCACCCGTCTGACGTCTTCGAACGATGTCCTCCGCAGCCGCTGTGCCGTCCCCAGCCGTACCTGGGCGACGGCGTGCGGCTGGGCGTACTCCTCCAGGCCGTGGTGGCGCTGCAGTCTCTCGCCCAGCGCCAGGATGTGGGCGTTGAGCACGTCCGTGCGGTCCCGGAGCCGCTCGAACATGTAGCGGTAGGGCCGCTGGAGGCGGGCCGGGCCGAGCGGCGCGGCCGGGCCGGCCGGCTCGGCGTCGGCAGTCCAGTCGGCCACCTCGGGACCCCAGCTGGCGATGACGTCCCCGCGCCCCGTGCGGGACTCGTACCGCTCCGAGGGCGCCGTCCTGAGGAGGACGAAGTCGGGTCAGAGGTCGTCCCGTGAGGAACGTCAGGTCAGGGCGCCCTGCTGGGCGTGCCATCATCGGAGGGCGCGTAAAACGCATGCTGGGACGACACTGGAAACACACCTGAGCACCAGTTGGCTGTACTGTGTGACCTGAACGACCTGCAGTTGACAGTTTCTGTTTTCGGCATTATTGCACGCCATACCACATGAAACAAACGGCCGTGCCTTACCCACACTGTTGAACGGCGAGCCTTACGGTGCATACAAACATTGATTAGAACAGAATTGACTTCCAAGAGCCCGCACGTCACTACTACATTAACTAAACGAACTCGGGCGCACTGAAGCCAGCGGCAGACGCCGCCGGACGGGGGGCGCTCGCCGCAGTCGAGGTCACGGGGGCTGACCCCGGCAAGTGAACCCCAGTCGTGGTGACCTCCAACGGTAGGAAACGCTGACCTATGCGGCGGGTCGTCGGACCCCACCACCACGTACACGAATGGGTGTCCGGGCTTGTCTGTGACAGGTCTTTGACTTGATCTGATCAAATCCTGGTGTTTTGGAAAAGTCCTCGGTCCAACCGGCGCGCTACATGAGCGAGAGTCCTATCATTCTTCCGCTAACGAATCCGATCCCTTGGAGTCCAGGCACATGCCTAGGTTTTAAATCCTTAAATCGAGTCCGGTGATTCCTTACGGCATCGCACACGACAAAGGTAATTTTACGACCGCTTATCGATGACAGAGACCACCGAGGATATAATCGGACACGGCAGGCTCACACCCGACCCAAAAATAACCTAATAATATCCTCACTTCGCATGCTAAGCCAGTATCGGGACAGCTATAAAATTGTGGGCATGTGCTGACAACTACGAAGTTCTAGCGGTGGCTAATCCGGCTCACACAAATTCGACCTGACTTAACCCCAGCGAAACGAGACTGACTCACCAAACTTAACATGGATTGCGATGACTACCCACATGCCACACGCCGAGCCGTTAAGCTTGTGCTATTCGCATATGTATGTTGTAACAATAATGTCCGTGCTTGGTAAAAAACATTGAAATTTGACTTTCAGTCGAGGGCGAATACGATCGTCAGGCTTCTAAAATCCTCCAGCACGGGCCCGAACCTTATCTGAGTCCGACTCCGCGACTAACTCTGACTCGGTGAAACGAGTCCGAGGCGGAAACACATCGGCTCGAAAACGACAGTGACGGCGTCAGTCAATTCAAAATTACGCGGAGGGGGGGGGGGGGATAATATGCCGAACGGAGGGGCGCACATTTACTTAAGAAGCAAGTCCCGACTTTGACGCGACCGCCGCTATTACACCTCAGCATGAATATGCGCAATCAAACCTCCTGTTCGATGGGCGCTGGCGGTTCACGTGGCACCAATGACACTACGAACTTCCCCTACGCTACGCAGTGCACCTGGCACTGATATCCCCATAGTTGTCTCACGTGCATATTTCAAAACCTGTGCTCGGTTCAACTTTTGTGTTAAGTTAAGGATTTTATGATCCGTCATCTGCCCTTTTCGTTTCGCGGGGAAGATGATACGTGGATTCCGCGTTTCGACTGGTATGGCAACACCATTTCTATGACACCAATTATATTCGCTCGAACATCGATCATATTCTTTGTGACCAATTCCATCTTTTTCGCTTTAATTCTAGTATGACAACCCCAGTCTGGGCCGAATCCGCGTTTATTTTTGCGCCACTAAGCCCCACTCCGATTCACCTGGAATGAATGGGATCAACCGTCAACCGTTCAACGCGTCCAGGTCGTAAAAAGTCACGAGCCCGAGCACGAGTCGTTGTCCCGGGGCCCCGCCTGACCTGCGCTCGGTCACGGTTGACACCACCGAGGTCGACAACACGCCCAATCATGGTCCGGGCCCTGCAGACAGGCCTCAGGCCGCGCCGGGCCCTGCCGACGGGCCTCAGGCGGCACCAGGCCCTGCAGACAGGCCTCAGTCCGCGCCAGGCCCTGCAGACAGGCCTCAGGCCGCGCCGGGCCCTGCAGACGAGCCTCAGGCGGCGCCGGCCGAGCACCTCAGGAGGATTCGGCGGCGCCGGGCCCTGCGGCCGAGCCTCAGGCGGCGCCAGGTTCTGCAGGCAGGCCTCAGGCGGCGCCAGGCCCTGCAGACAGGCCTAAGCGCCGGGCCCTGCAGACGAGCCTCGGGCGGCGCCGGCCGAGCACTTCAGGAGGATTCGGCGGCGTCGGGCCCTGCAGCTGAGCCTCGAGCGGCGCCGGGCCCTGCAGACGAGTCTCGGGCGGCGCCGGCCGAGCACCTCGGGAGGATTCGGCGGCGCCGGGCGGCGCCCTCCGCCCCTCACTACGGCCGGCCGGCTGGATAAACAAACAGACGCCACAGTCCGGCAAGCCAGCCGGCGACATCTCGGCACGGCGCTAGGACGCGAGAGCGCTGCAGCGCGCCGCCGGCCCCACCACGCGCAATGGAGCGGCCGGGAGCGGCAGCCGGCGCTATCGGCCGACGCAGACGCTGCAGATTCGCGCCCATTCAGACATCGGCGGACGCAGGGACCTCGCGCTTCGCAACAATTCAGACATGTGTCGAGGCAGGGACTGTGAGCGCCAGTTGAGATGTCGGTGGGAACGACGACTGCGAGCTGCGGACCTGTGTGAAGTTGTTCTGTCCAACCCGGTGATTTGACGACCGCACCATAAGGACCTGAAAATTGACGACGCCGAACACTGGTCTGCGTTTGAGACGGACAAGCAACAAATGTCATCGATCTACGCAATACCTCTCCTGTTTGATGACAACAACGGGGAGGTTAGATGTTTGAAGCAACACGTAACACACCAACGTTGGCTAAAATCCAAGCAGTGCGGCACCATTACTTAAGAATAGCATGGCAACGGACAGGGGAAATCTGTTTATTTGGGACCAAAATCAGTGTAACGCAGGAAGCGTGATCTTCGACCAGAATGAGACCCAAACAAGCGCCGCAAAAACGACACCCTGGAGGCCTCCTGAGGCACTGAGCCAAGCAACAAACCGAATGCAAAAACAAACGCCCGCCCAAATCGTGTGCATACCAGTAGCGGATTGGCTTCACAGAAAGACAGGGACTGCCGGGCGCCCACGAGAAGCTGAATCGGAATTTGATTCAGGGACGTGCGCGAGATCAGCTTCATGGTCAATAATAAAAGATTACAACAAGGCCCGTGGGCAGCAGAGTATAGGTACTAATGATACCAATAAATGTGTTTGGTGGTCCCGGAAAGAGAGTGGGGTATCTGTCATCTGTTTACCGCTCTTTATCGTTGGTGTTTACTGCTCTTTTACGTGTTTATTTGTCTTTCCGCTCTCGCAGGTCGTCATTAGGAGGAACAGCTGTTCGAAGTCGTCTGCCGTTTTCGACAGGCGCAATGGCGATTATGCCACCGAATTCCGGTCTACGCTCCTATTTTTTTAAATTTTAACTGACCTTACAACAAGCTGGGTTTATTCCGGAAATGCTTCCGAAGACATCAGGAGACCCGGCATGCCGAGACCAACTTGCATTAGCACCAGCAATCTGACACTTGTGTGAATCGCAAAGCAGCAACATTCTTCACTGGTTAAGCCACCATCCGTTTGTCTACGGGAAGTCATGCTCAAACATACAGGGGCAGTGTTTGTGCAGCTATGCCAGTTCATCTCCGTCATCCCTGTCACACAGCACGCTCAGTGCCTGCCTGCCCGGAGACTGAGATATCCCTGGTTATAATTTCACAAGTGTTATCTGACATACCCGACTATGACATGCATGACATACACAAAGTAAGCCACGTCACTTTCAGAACGTCTGGCCATCGGCTATGTTCAAAGGGTCGCCATCTCTGCCGTTTCGCGTCACAATTCGGCGCTTTGCATCGGTGGTGCGGGGAAACAAGACAGAAGCAAAGAACGAATCGATCATACTATCTTTGTGCCACGATACCCGCACCGTCTGGCAACGAGTCATGACGTCACTGATCTCGGCAAAATGAAGAGGAATGAGAGGGCTACATCCAAACGGCTTTACACCTGGAAAATAGAATCGACCCGGATAGCTTATTTTCAAGTTGATGCAGTGTCAGCACAACCACAGACTTTGGAAGTTTTTCTTCGTAATCCAACTCATCTGCACATAACGCGAAAGAATCACATTCATTATAGCATTTTGAATGAGTCACACGTTGTTTTTACTTTTTAAAATGCGCGTGATTACAGGAAGCACTTGCGCCCAAAAGACGTTTCGAGTGAGATACTGAGGCGATTAGGTACGTTGTGCTGAAACATTTGGTTCGCTTGCCTTTGCAAGGAGTTTGCTCTTAGGCTGCAGTAATTCTACAACGCTTCGGTATTTTCATCACCCTATGATGACAATACGCGACGATACTACTGACGATTTGGTGATATAGTCCATAACGTTACGATAGCTGATGTAACACAATAATGACGATATTTCTACTGCCAGGTGATTACTAAGGTTGAAGGCCACTTTTTAGCTAATTCCTTTGCTTCTACTTAAGCTAAGTTCTACGACTGCCACTTCAAAGCATCGCTCCCGACGCCCCTCGAGCGTCACTCCCGGCGCCCCCAGAGCGTCGCTCTCGGCACCCAGAGCGTCGCTCCCGGCGCCCCCAGAGCGTCACTCCCGGCGACCCCAGAGCGTCGCTCCTGATACCCCCGGAGCGCCACTCCCGGCGCCCCCAGAGCGTCACTCCCGGCGCCCCCAGAGCGTCACTCCCGGCGCCCCCAGAGCGTCGCTCCTGACGCCCCAGAGCGTCGCTCCCGGCGCCCCCAGAGCGTCACCCCCGGCGCCCCCAGAACGTCGCTCTCGGCACCCAGAGCGTCGCTCCCGGCGCCCCCAGAGCGTCACCCCCGGCGCCCCCAGAGCGTCGCTCCCGGCGCCCCCAGAGCGTCGCACCCGGCGCCCCCAGAGCGTCGCTCCTGACGCCCCCAGAGCGTCGCTCCCGGCACCCAGAGCGTCGCTCCCGGCGCCCCCAGAGCGTCGCTCCTGACACCCCCGGAGCGTCACTCCCGGCGCCCCCAGAGCATCGCTCCTGACGCCTAGAGCGTCGCTTCTTCGCGCAGCGCAGCAAGCGTGAACCGCTTGCACTTACCTAAAACTCAATCCCGGGCCCCGGCTTCAGAAACTTAACCACGCTAAATTTCGGCAATTACGATCCAGCCATGCGTCTGCCTGAACCCTTCCGCGAAGGCACTAAACCCTAACGACATTCACCCTTCAATTCAAATCTGACGGACTTCCGGGTCTGTCTCGGCCAGTGAAAGGTGTTTTGTCGAGCTCGGTCCACCGACGTCAATCCCCAGCCTTCTCCCCTCTCCCCCACCTGTTGACGTCGGGTCCAGATTATATCGGCGCTCCCTCCCCTCCCCGCCGCCGGCGGTAATGAGATTTACCTGTCCCTCCCCAGTACCTGTCCCCCCCCCCCCCCGATGGGATCAGCGCCGAGGGGTGTCGGTACTCACACGGTGGGGGAGTAGCTGGTGGGGCTGAAGAGTGCCGAGCGAGACGGCACAGCCTGGCCCGAGGGAAGGCCCGGGCCCCGCTTCGGAGTCACCTGGGTCGGCGTCGTCTGCCGCTTCGTCGCCTGTAACCCCGGCACGCACACCGTCAGCAAACGACGACGAACCCGCACATACATCGCGCTGGCTGCCGACGAACAAACACGAGGGCATGACGCGGACGAGTTTTGCCAAGGACATAATGCACTGACGACATACGCGCGCTGGTCCGGCGGCGCGTGTGACGTTACAAGCGCCGTCCCAGAGTCGGCAATAACCAGCTGGAACAAACACTTTCTACCGTCCGCTTTTTACCGGCTAAAACCGGTGAGCACGAAGCTCGTGGCAGAAAGCAGGCAGAAGCTGGCAGAAACTTCTGCGCGGCAATGCGTAATGGAAGCCGATGGAATCAAGAGAAAAGGCGTAGTACTTCACACATATTTTATATGTTTATGCTTTGGCGCCTATGGCGTCTACATAGAAAATAATAGGGTCCTGGCCATCCGGAATTACACCATTATAAATTGTTAAACAAGATGCAGGGAACAATTACTGTTTGCACAACCAAGTGAGAACAAAGCCAAAGCCTGCAAAAGCGCGTCCGTTGAGAGGAATTCATCAATCGTAGCACCATGATGAATAAGTCTGCCGTAATGCGTAATGGCGAAGAAAACAAAATTCTGCCCTGATCTGGACTTGTATTTAATTAGCCCGACAAGAGCTGAGTGCCGATATACCCGGCCGACCGCAACCGCACGTTACATTTTCAGAGAATTGTCGAAAGACACTTGCCCGATCACTTATAGGCTGTATATTTGTAGGACAGACAGTAGTGCAGCTCCAGTTCGTATTATGAGTGTTGTTATTGTCATTGTGCACACATGTGGAGCTAAGTACCAAGTAGTGTATGCACCGACCAAGAATATTTTACTGCACTGCTTATTTTGTTTAGTTATTCATTCATAGCTCATTGTATCCATCGCACTACCTTCACAGCCAGCCCGGGGTCCACGCGGAACATGCTGGACACGTGACCCAACCGAACTGGGTCTAAACCTCAGAGCAGGCGCTTCGTTAAGCTCAACCGGTATGGAAAGGTCAGCTGACAGCCGGTATGGCCAGATAATGACGATTTGGGCTTTGGGGCGCCCGGTATGGCCAGAGGGCCAGCCCGGCCCTGGCTGGCCGTGCCGCAGCCCCCTTGCAGGACACGTGACGTAGCCCTGCAGGACACGTCACGTAGCACTGCAAGACACGTCACGTAGTACTGCAGGACACATCACGTAGCACTGCAGGACACGTCACGTACCACTGCAGGACACGTCACGCAGCATTTCAGGACACATCACGTAGCACTGCAGGACACATCACGTAGCACTGCAAGACACGTCACGCAGTACTCCAGGACACGTCACGTAGCTCCACAGGGACACGTCACGTAGCACTGCAAGACACGTGACGTAGTACTGCAGGACAGGTCACGTAGCACTGCAGGACACATCACGTAACACTCTACACATCCCTGTCTGGCAAACGGACTGGAGGCAGAAAAATCCCATAGACTGCATCAAGTCTTACTTATTGACCTCATTACGGTGGGTTACAGAGCACGCGCAACAAGCTCTGCTTAGTAAGCGTTCCGAACCCAGTCATCCATGCAAGTCGTTCAAAATAATGTTGACAAACTAATTGAGGCTTGACAGATTTGCCGCTACTGACTTTTGAATCCATGCGTTTGAGTCATGAGACACACGCTCACATATACCAATTCGTGTGCCACTCAAGCGATGGATAACAGATACTGTGATCACATGGTTGCATCATTGTGCCTTTGCTGGCAATTTGCCTGAAAATACCACGTGGGAACTGTGTGGTAAGACTTTAATTAAAACACAACCGTATCATAAATTACCCAGTTCCCGTCAGTTTATGTATGCTTCAACCGGTAAAAAGCATCGCGGTAAAAACCACTGAGGCAGACCCCAGCTAAAGTCGGCTGGAATGGCAACCGTTACTAGCACCTTTACCTATGCTGTATCATATATACTGTACATTATTTTGCATAACCTGCTGTTCGTCAGGCCGCATGGATAACATTTTTCACGACGCCCAGTACTACCAACGTCATCATTCTTGCCGGGGGCTTCCAGACAACGGGTGTCGCTCCCCGAAACGTAACCTGGCAAATAATGCTTTCCTCTTTACTCTCGGCTTCGAGACATTCTGTTCAGCGTTCGCTAAAAAGTTCACGGGCGTTCATGTATAAAACATCTCCCACCGACCTTAATTGAAACAAGCATTCTTACCCGGCTTTTCTCGATGCCAACACGGAGCATCGCTGCTACAGCTCTGTGGATGGACGCCTTATAAGGGGGCGGGACCTGTGTTTTCGGGTGTCGTCCGGCTCAGGTCCAGATCGCGGCATCTTGACCGCACTGCTCCACGACAGGAGGCGACATGGGCTCAGATACATGCCTCTGACGACTTGATGGCGCTGCGGTGTGTCCCGAGGTGCCTTTTGTACCCCAGACGGTGATGTTTGGGAATCGCGCGCGATTTGGTGAGATGTGTTCCGACCTGTCCTGACGATAACCCATCATGTGAGGACGCTGTTTGGTGACCAGAGCATTCAGGGCGTGCACTCATCGATTTAAAAGGAGTGCCCTACCTGTTTTGTACTTTTCACTTGTTGTTGCGGCAGACGCGCACAATTTGGTTAGTAATATATATATATATATATATATATATATATATATATATATATATATATATATATATGTATAAATGCACAATACGGATATACATGTATATATTAAGTAACACAATACATGAATACAAAATAATACGCGTAATGCAGTTGTTTTATTCGCGCCAGTAGAGCTGCGCGCCGTGGCTGTCACGTCGGCGGTGACCACGACTGCAGGGAAGATGCGTGGTGTTGTTACGAAGCGTTCATTGCGTGATCTAAACTCAGAGGATAAGTGAAATTGACAGCCACACTATGTCTTGATGGCGCTGCAGTGACACTACCCCGGGCTTTTAATAGACGATACTAGTCTTGATGGCTTACTGTAGCATGTTTTTGAAATATGTCCGAAAGGTGGGACGATCAACAGTAAAGACTGCCTCGTATCACTGCTGGTTCGAAAACCACACCACAGTTGCGGACACGTGAACAACCTACAGCAGCGAACAACGGTGCCTCTTTATTATCGAACGCATCAGGCCTGACCGTCCGCGAAGGGTATGGCTGTTTTCGCCGGCGTGCCATAAAGGGGCGACCCTTTGCACGTGCGCTCGGGGCATAGGGTCGCCCCTTTATATAGGAACCGGTTATACCAGCGTCCTCCACCAAACAACGAATAAGCTTATGTGAGAGCAACAACTGACACGCCCTCGTCACAGCGGCAGACACTGTTCCCGCTGTCACACCGCCAGACACTGTTCCCGCTGCGTCACACGCCCTCGTCACACCGCCAGACATTGTTCCCGCTGCGTCACACGTGGTGGCATGCACATACCCCTCTACCTGAGCGAAGCACTTCAGCAACTCAATTTGCTTAAGTAGTTGGAGATACACTCATCACCTCATGAAGAGCTGCAATAAATTTCCAGTGCTGACGTCTAACTGACCACGGGCAATCATCACACAATACCAGTCAAACACAGCTCGGCTCAATCCTTTCACTAGGCTGCAGTTTCGACTAATTCCAATCAAATTTTCTCAGCCGTGCCAGTCTGCTCCCATCGCCAACCAATCTGTAACAGCGACCGACCGATCCATCAAGTCTTTGTTCTCCCCAGACGTTATGATTGGCGCCGGCCGTGACTCAAAGCCGCGTGCCCACGAGCCTCAAGCGGACGCCGGGACACTTCGCCCGTTCCTTCACCTCTCAAGCATCATGGACGTCCCCTCCCCATCGCGAACGATAGCTTCGTCAGCGACCGACCGCTGCCGTCGGCCCCGCGGTTCAGTTCTGCTACCGCGAATCAAAAAAAGTGACCGGCCCGGCCCGGCCTGGCGGCGCCCACGTTTGAAAAACCGGTCCGCCAACGGGCGGCCAGCGGACCGGTTGAGTGGCGCCGGCCCGGAGGGCGGCCGCCACGGCGGCGGAGTCACGTGGCCCCGGTCCCCCTCCCCCGCCGGCCGGCCGACCGCGCCGGGCCGCGCGCGGGGGTGCGGCATGGCGAACTGCCCGCTTCGCCCATGTAGGGTGAACGTCCGCGCGAACCCAAACCGCCGGTCCATTCATTTCGCGTCGACTTGCGCACGTGGCGCCGCCATGCGCTCGCTACAGAGTCGCAGCTCAGCGCCGCGCACGAGAGGAGCGAACAGCTCTCGCCGTCAGGACCGGGCCGGGCGGCCACCGCACCAGCGCCCAGCGTCCAGCCAGACGGAACATGTGGCGACCTTGAAAGCGGCGGCCGTTGGCAGAGTGCCAGCCAGGCGGTAACAGCCCGAGCAGCCGCCTGGAAACGCTGGCCGCGCCCGGCCACCGACACCGCGGGCTGGCTGCCGGCAGGTGCGGCCACCGCGGCCCGGGCGCCGCCGCCGCCGCCGCCGCCGGCGCAGAGACGCAGCGGGACGCGGCGGCCCAGGAGCATAGAGACGGACACGGTAGACCAGGAGCATACAGCGGGACACGGCAGACCAGCGGCATACAGACGGACACGGCAGACCAGGGGCATACACACGGACACGGTAGACTAGGGGCATGCAGGGGGACACGGCAGACCAGGGACATGCAACGGGACACGGCGGACTGGGGACATAGAGCGGGACACAGAGGCATGCAGCCTAAGCCGCAACGTTCGGACAGGTTCCCAGCCTATCGTACCTGTTCGGGCTATTTCTGCCGCGTGCTGCTTCTGAGAAACGCACAATTTTCGCAGAATTTCACTGTGCACGGCAACCCTCGTTAACTTTGTACTATTACAAGCAAGCTGCCTGAAAAACGCAAGGAACAAACCTGAAGTTTCGGGCCAGCCAATGCGCGCCGTGTTTGGACCGCAGCTATGCCACGAGCCGGTAGGCCAGGCAAGCCCCGGTTAAATCGCCGGTGAGGCTTAAGTAACAAAACATCAAACCAGCGTGTCATACGGGTTGTCCTCGAGCGCGGCTGGCGGTATCTCCTGGGGTAATGACAGGAAAGAGTTCTTGGAGGCAGACACGGTCCCTCTCGTCAGGGGTCGCAGGTGGTGTCCCAAGAGGTGGCTGACCTACGTCGGCGGGAGGAGTCCGGTCAGCCAGCTCTCGAGAGTGAGTTGGACGTGCCGAAGCGGTGGCTGGCGAGTGCTGTCTGCTTCAGGACCAGTAGACATTTCCTACGAACAGCCACCTATGCCACTCACTAATAACTATGTGTTTGCTGTCCTCTCCTTGAACTGTTCGTAGCTGGTTCCGCTTACCAGCCAGCTGTTGTAAGGACAGCGAAATCAAGGGTGCCATAAAGATACAGCGTACCACTGACATTTCTGGCTGCACTAGCGTCGCACGCGCGTGTTACACTCCCGGCCTTAGCAAGCTGGTACGGCGGTCGTGCCCCTTCCCCGCCAGTAAGCCCTGTTGATACGACTTACGGCACACGAAGATGCACCGTCACCGTCTTAGAAGCGGTTCGCGTCCTGCTCGCTAGATAAGCGGATTCCGCGTTGTCTTATCCCCGTGTGACATGCTTGCCTTTCGTCTCACCGCGTGACGGGCATGCCACTCGTGCGCATTCTTTTCCCTTCCCTTTTTACCGCACAATCTCTACCAATGTCGTCCATGTATGGAGCCTGGCAAACAGCGCCTTGAACAACAAAAACCGGCCGATAAGCGGCGGCGGCCTCAGCCTCCAGCCGAGGCCTGGCTTCCATGTCCGCTGTCCGGCGTCCCGGCGACCGCCCGTCAGGCGACCGGTCGCCGAGGCGGCGCAGCCCAGCACGCTCGGATGCACCGCGACCGCCGCGTGCAGCTGGTGACCGGAACCTAGGCTCGCCCTGCGTTGTGGCCCTGGCGGCCGTTTGACGGGAGTAGCT